ATGATAGACAGGATTAGAAACTCCTAGTGACAACCATAAAGTCTACTGTTATGCCCAGATCATGGATTCCCCCAAAAACCAACTAGGAGACCAAGTCCTATATGTAAAAGCAAAGAGCCTTTATTTTTATTTAAACTCGATCTCAGACTCTCTGTGTATCCAACATATTGCCTTGATTAGAGAGCCCCAAGTTCAGTTGGAGTGGGGTTTATATAATAGCAGGGGTTGAGGTGAGGAATTTCTAAGGTTGAGGACCCCTGATTGGCTGACATTTATCTAGGGGTGTCCTGGTGAAAAGTGGTGGGCATGTGCTGTCAGGTGATCCTATCCACAATGGTTGGAACATTAGGAATTACCTTTGAATGATCTGTTCCTGGGTGGTTCCTGGGTAGTCTTAGTTTGTGATCTTTCTTGGAATGAGGTATTGCCTTAGGGTAAACTACAGGGACTTGGGCCTTGGGCCTTGGGCCTTGATTGAGCTTGTCATGGCATGGCTGGGTCCTATACTCCAAAGAAGACAAATAGGGCACAAGCAATGCCACCTGGATTGTGGCCATGATAACCACTGGGAAAAACTGTCCCATGCCTCACCTGCTGCCAGGGCCCTGCATAACTAGACACTGTTGGATTGACTGCCCTACTCTGACTCATCAAAGTTAGGTCAGTTTCCCCAAGCTCCTCCTCTGTTGTCTGAGGTTTCCTGTCCCACCAGGTCCCACAGCTGTTTAGCCCCAAAGAAATCACACAGAGGTCTACATTCATTATAAACTGATTGGCCTAGTAACTCAGACTTCTTATTAACTCTTATAACTTGTCCATGTCAGCCATGTGGTTCAGTACCTTATTCAGCAAGGCAGTCACACCTTGTTTTTTCTGTGGCTGGGTCACAACTGCGAACTAAGCTTTCCTCTTCCCAGAATTCTTATTACCCTGCCTCTACTTCCTGCCTGGTCACTGGCTAATCAGCATTTATTTAAAATATAAGTGACAAAGTACAGAGCATTGTCCCACAGCACTTCCCCCCTTTTAAAAAAAAAGAATTCTGAATCTAATATCCTTTGTTTAGCTTTTCTCCTGACCATTATCCATAAGAACTTGTAACCAACATTGTTAACAAAGGAAAATATCCATAGTCCATTTTTTGGGAATGTGGGTATAGTTTTCCAGGCTACTTTCTGCTGGTTGGGGGCACTGATAATCTTAAAGGGACCTAAAAGAAAATTTAGGATTATGATCAAATCCTGACGGGAGTATCCTGTGAGGCTTGATCATCTCGGGAAGCAGTCTTGAATCTGTTCTGAACATAGAACTCAGACACCTGGGTCATCTGTTCCTACTGAAGATTTCTCAGGTGGTCTTCTTGATCAAACCTGATTTTTCTTAACTCAGAATGAATCCACAGCCTTGCATTTCCTGCGGAAACAAAAGTAAAAACTCTTCACCAAAGAAACATACCTTTTGACTTCAATTTTGAAGTTAAGGTATTTTCAAAATACCTACCTTGGATTAATTCAGCAGCATTATAAACAAATATCTTTTGGCAGCTGTTGTTCCTTTCTCAGCATTCAAGCAATTCAAAGAGAACTTAATAACATACAGTATCCAGACTCTCTGTGTATTTTTCATCTTTACATGACTTTATTTTAACCTCTTTTTTTATTTTTAATTTTGGGCTTTTTGAGACAGGGTTTCTCTGTGTTTCTTTGGCTGCCCTGGAACTCACTCTGTAAGCCAGGCTGTCCTTGAACTCACAGAGATATGCCTGCCTCTGCCTCCCAAATTCTGGGATTAAAAGTGTGTGCCACCACACCCAACTACTCTCCTTTTTTTTTATTTTAAGGACTTTAAACTTTTTCTTTTCTCTCCTAAGCCTGTATATATTTTTAACACACTGTAAACCACTTAGAGGTTTTCTTCATCTTTGGATCTCTCTTTACTATATATCTCTCTCTTTTTTGACCACATAAGTCTTTAATTTGCTAAGCGATGTGGCTAGGATTAAAGTCGTGACTTTGATGGCTGGATCCAGCCCATTCTTTAGCTTTCTGAGATTCCAGCCTCGTGGGGAGTGTGATTACAATAAGAAGGGATATTTGTGCAATCAAAACACAGACAGTGGAGGAAAAAGACATTATCAATGGGAAGATCAGCCACAGCCTTTAAAACATTAGTAAGAGCATGTTCCATTTTGTTCCCCATTATCTTTGTATGATTTTCATAAGAAACCCTTATCCCATACAAATTTCTTTTTAAGAGCCCAGGGCGGGGGGAGGAATGAGCCCAGGAAAAGAGGTACTTCCTCTGACACAGAAGGAGCTTTCTCATTGGCTTTTTAGTGCTAAATGGACCCAGAGATTATATTCCACAGTGTTAGTTACAGACAGGATAACCCTGGGTATGTTAAATTCAACTGAAGTGATTAATGAACATTCCCTTCCCCTTCTTATTTTAGCCCACCTAATTTCCATTATCAGAACACTTTAAAGACTATTTGACTAGTCTGTGTTATTTGCTGCAGTCTGTGTTATTATGTTGGGATTGGTCTGTTAAAATAGTCCATCCTAAGTATCCTCCATCCATCTGGCAACAGACTATTTGTTCCCCTTCTTTTGTTCAAACTATGGGCACTGGTAGTAAAGACAGTCTTTTGCATAGCAAGACAATAATAGGATTTCCTATGATTTCTCATTTCCACTGTCAAGATGCATTTTGTATAAGTTGAAAATAAAACAACAAAGCTATTAGCCATAGGACAATCATGATGCAAATTTCAACATCAAGAACACAAAATTATGTTAGACAGTCAAATGCTAGAAAGTCGGATTTTGTTTGTTTGTTTTGTTTTGTTTTTCGAGACAGGGTTTCTCTGAAACAGTCCTGGCTGTCCTGCAACTCGCTCTGTAGACCAGGTTGGCCTTGAACTCACAGAGATCTGCCTGCCTCTGCCTCCCGAGTGCTAGGATTAAAGGCATGCACCACCACTGCCTGGTGAGAAAGTGTGATGTTTGCATCTTTTTCAGTCACTTTCCACCTTTGCAGGTCAGGCTACTCTTCCATAGGTTCCTCAGATGCCTTCTTGAGGTGTGAGTGATGAACCCAGGCAGAAATACCCATGACTTTAACAGCAGCAGGAGTCCGGAGAGTCACAATGTAAGGTCCTTCCCATCTACGTTCAAGCCAGTCAGTTTTGAAGTCACTGACTAAATCAACATCTCCAGACTGGAATAGGTGATCAGGTGGGCTGCACCCAACAGGCTGAGCAGCCTGGACCTGAGGGAGAATCAAGTCCAAAGTTAACTGCAATCCTTTCAAAGACTCAGAGATTGGAGTGGGGCAGTCGGATAACAGTCCAGCATGTACCCAAGGGACCAAGGGAGGTGGATGCCCATAGACTATTTCATATGGGGTGAACTTTTCTCTCATGGGGGGTACATCAGACTCTGAAAAGGGATTAAGGCAAGAGGTCCACCCAGTTACCACCAGTTTCAAGAGGATATTTAGTTAAAATCCCCTTTAAAGTGCTCTTCATCCTCTCTACTTTTCCTGTATACATCCTCTGGGGATGATACATACAGCAAAGTTTCCAATTTACATCAAGAGCCTTAGAGAGCAATCGAGATAACTTGGCTATGAAGGGCAGGCCATTGTTGGACCCCAGAAATATGGGCAGATCAAATCTTGGAATAATTTTCATTATGAATCTCTTAGCTACCACTTGGGTCATTTCCATTCTGGTCTACAGAGTGAGTTCCAGGACAGCCAGGACTATACAGAAAAACCCTGTAATCCTGTCTTGGTTTAAAAAAAAAAAATACCCAATTGATATGGCCCAAAATTCAAATTTTGCTCTTTTAGTTTAATTACCATGAGAGTTAAACATTCATTTAAGTATCGACTAAATGAGCAGGAAAGAATGTCATCTACGCACTGAAATATCTCAGGAACTTTAATCAGCACCAGCTCAGGTGATATGTCCTATTTGCAACTGTTCCTACTTTAAATTTCCCCATGTGAAGGGACCACTGATCAATCTATATTGAGTTATTCCTGCTTTGAAGGGAAACAAACAGAAAAGAAAAAAACAAAATAAAGCTAAGCTCTAGGGCAGCCAAGCCCTAGCTAGGGCTCCAGCAACTTAGCCCCAGGCACCATTCTTTAGAACTCAAATGCTCCAGCAGAGGGTGCTCTACACAGTCAGCTGACTCCAGGCAGCTGAGACGGCCTTGGGGACATTTGCAGCCAGAGGGCTCTAACTTGCTGTCCAGAAGCTTTGGGGTCCATTCCACCTACCCTGCCAAGACCTGCAGAAATATGTTCACCACACAATTCTCTCTCTCCCTCTACCCTCTTTTCTCTCCCTCTCTTTCTCCCCTTCCTTTTTTTTTCTTTTTTTTTTTTGTAAATGGAGGTTTTGAGGCAGAGTTTCTCTGTGTAGCCCTGGCTATCTTGGAACTGGAACTCACTTTGTAGACCAGGCTGGCTTTGAACTCAGAGATCCTCTACCTCTGCCTCCCGAGTGCTGGGATTAAAGGTGTGCGCCACATTTCCCCCACAACCCAAGCAATACATTACTGTATTCCAGCTTGCAAAATAACTGACAGGGATTTTATTATTCCCCTTTAGTACTGGTTCTGTTTCCCTTAGTTCCTGTGAGTTTAAAATTATCAACATCTATGGTTCATTGTTTAGGAATCAGTTGCAATTGTTTCTCTGAATGTTTTTGCACCTCTATGCCTAACAAACAATTGTATGAAACATCTTGTCTCAAAGGGCCTGATTAGAATTCATGTTTATTTCCACTCTCCACGTTCGGTCTCAACCCCTTTGGAGAGGGGCCTAGCACCTCCCTCCTTTTCTCTTTCATGCTATAACAAAGCACTCAACTGGCTCCTCACACTCACACAGCAGCACAACACAGTCTGAGTTCAACCCCTCAAGGCAGAGCTGACTGTGGAAACCACCAACCTGTGTTGTCACCTGTGTCACCTGTGTTTCCTCAGAAACCCATACACTGCGCTATCAACTCACAGTCTTGTCTCCAGAAGATGATTGGCAGCTCCCATTCCCAATCCTGATATACATTGACGATGATCTCTTCCTGCGCTACAATGGGGACAGCAGGAGAGCAGAGGCCTGGGGGCCCAGGCTCAAGGGACATGCAGGAGCTGAAACCTGGACAAGAGAGACTGAGGACTTTCGGAAGAAGGAGGAGCAACTCAGGAGGATGCTGGCTGAAGTCATAAACCAGCAGGGCCGGAACAAGGGTAAGTGAGCTGAGTCAGAGGTACACGGTTCCATCTATGACCCCGAGGCCTGATTCTCGGCAGGGCAGGGCCAGACTTAATATAATAAAGCGTCCATGGGCCAGAGCACTGGCTAGTCCCTTTTAGACTGAAGTATCAGGGGAACTAAGGGACAGTACAGTGACAGGTCCCTGCCTGGGGCGGGCCAGGCCTTCACATCCTCCAGGAAACCTTGGGCTGTGAGCTTCGGGAAAATCGGAGCACTGGAGGCTTCTGGCGCTTTGGCTACAATGGACAGGACTTCCTCACCTTTGACCAGAAGACTCTCACGTGGACAATGGCTATGCCCTTCACTCAGCAGACCAAGACCTTCTGGGAGAAACATGCGCCCAGAGCTGATGAAGTTAAAACTTTCTTGGAGGACATATGTCCTACTCAGCTCCAGGGATACCTGGCTTCCATGAGGAACTGTCGGATGGATAAAGGTACTGACTGTCACCAGGGTTAGTTTCCAGCACCCAGGGGCATTCCTGTAGCCAAGAGGATCCTTCCTATGGTCCTTCTGGGAGTCTAGGTTTTCATTGGTGTGTATAATCATGGCGTAGTCTAAGGTGGTGCCTGTAAGTTTGGGTGTAGGGTCTACTCCAGGGTCACTTCTGGGTCCCTAATTGGAAAGAATGGGGTTCCCAGATATTGCCTGGATCTCACACCAGAACCAGATAAGAAATCTAGATAAGAACTAGCTAAGAAGCTAGCTAAGAATTGGGCTTAGGTGGTAAGATGGAGTTATGTTTATTTGGTTAAAGTTAGAACAAAACAGAAGGATCCAACCATGGAGCTTAACTACAGACTCAAAAGCAAGTGACCCGAGGCCAGGGTCCATTGCCCAGTGTTCTGCTTTTGTTTGAAAGGGTTTAATTTTCTTTTTCTTGAGACAAGGCTTCACTACATAAACCAGGATGGCTTTCTTTTTTCTTTAGGTTTTTTTATTGTTTTTATTAAGCTATATATTTTTCTCAGCTCCCCTTCTTTTCTCTCCCTAACCCCTTCTACTCTCTCCCATGGTCCCCATGCTCCCAATTTACTCAAGAGATGTTTTTTTTTTTATTTCACATGTAGTTTAGACCTATATATGTCTCCCTTAGGGTCCTAATTATTGTCTAGATTCTCTGGGATTGTGAATTTTAGGTTGGTTTTTCTTTGCTTTATGTCTAAAAGCCACTTATAAGTGAATACATATAATATTTGTCTTTCTGGATCTGGGTTACCTCACTCAATATGATGTTTTCTAGATCCATCCATTTGCCTGCAAATTTCTTTTTTTTTTTTTTTTTTTTTAAAAATATCTATTTATTTATTTATTATGTATACAGTATTCTGTCTGCTTGTATGCCTGCAGGCCAGAAGAGGGCACCAGACATCATTACAGATGGTTGTGAGCCACCATGTGGTTGCTGGGAATTGAACTCAGGACCTCTGGAAGAGCAGCCAGTGCTCTTAACCACTGAGCCATCTCTCCAGCCCCCCTGCAAATTTCAAGATGTTTTTTTTTTTTCTTCTTCTTCTATGTGGTACTCCATTGTGTAAATGTACCACATTTTCCTTATCCATTCTTCAGTCAAGGGGCATTTAGGTTGTTTCCAGGTTCTGGCTATGACAAACAATGTTGCTATGAACATTGTTGAGCATACGTCCTTGTAGTATGATTAAGCATCCTTTGGATATATACCCAAAGTGGTATTGCTGGGTTTTGAGGAAGGTTGTTTCCTAATTTTCTGAGATATCTCCATACTGATATCCAAAGGAGCTGTACCAGTTTACACTCCCACCAGCAATGGATGAGTGTTCCCTTTACCCTACAGCCTCTCCAGCATAAGTTGTCATCAGTGTTTTTGATCTTGGGCATTCTAACAGGTGTGAGATGGAATCTCAGAGTTGTTTTGATTTGCATTTCTCTGATGACTAAAGATGTTGAGCATTTCCTTAAGTGTCTTTCAATCATTTTAGATTCCTTTGTTGAGAGTTCTCTGTTTAGACCTGTACCCCATTTTTAATGGGTTATTTGATTTATTTTTTGAGGGCCAATTTCATCAGTTCTTACTATATTTTGGAGATCAGCCCTCAGTCCAATGTGGGATTAGTGAAGATCTTTTCCCATTCTGTAGGCTGCTATTTTGTCTTGTTGAGCATGTCCTTTGCTTTACAGAAGCTTCTCAGTTTCAGGAGGCCCCACTTATTAATTATTTCTCTCAGTGTCTGTGCTACTGGGGTTATATTTAGGAAGTGGTCTCTTGTGCCAATGTGTTCAAGTGTACTTCACATTTTCTCTTCTATGAGGTTCAGTGTGGCTGGCTTTATGTTGAGGTCTTTGATCCATTTGGACTTGAGTTTTGTGCATGATGATAGATATGGGTCTATTTATATTCTTATACATGTTGATATCCAGTTTTGCCAGCACCACTTGTTAAATATGCTTTCTTTTTTCCATTTTATTTTTTTGTTTGTTTGTTTCGTTGTCAGAAATCAGGTATTCATAGGTGTGTGGATGAATATCTGGGTCTTCGATTCAGTTCCATTGTTTCTCCTGTCTGTTTTTATGCCAATACCAGGCATTTTCAGTACAGTAGCTCTGTAGTAGAGTTTGAAATCAGGGATCGTGATGCCTCCGGAAGTTCCTTTATTGTACAGGGTTGTTTCAACTATCCTGGGTTTTCTTGCTTTTCCATATGAAATTGAGTACCGTTCTTTGGAGGTCTGTGAAGAGTTTTGCTGGGATTCTGATGGGCATTGCATTGAATCTGTAGATTGCTTGTTGCAAGATTTCCATTTTTACTATGTTAATTCTACCTACCAAAGAGCATGGGAGATCTTTCCATTTTCTGATGTCTTCAGTTTTTTTCTTCAAATATTTAAAGTTCTTGTCACACAGGTCTTCTGCTTGCTTGGTCAGAGTTACTCTGACATATTTTATGCTATTTGTGGCTATTGTGAAGGGTGATGTTTCTCTGATTTCTTCCCCAGCCCTTTTATCATCTGTGTACAGGAGGGCTACTGATTTTTTTGAGTTAATCTTGTATCCTGCTACATTACTGGAAGTGTTTTTGAGTTGTAGAAGTTCCTTGGTAGAATTTTTGGGGTCACTTATGTAAACTATCATATCATCAGCAAATAGTGAGAGTTTGACTTCTTTTCTGATTTGTATCCTCTTGAACTCCTTTTGTTGTCTTTTTGATCTAGCTAGAACCTCAAGAACTATACTGAAGAGATATGGAGAAAGTGGACAACCTTGACTTGTTCCTGACTTCAGTGGGATCGCTTTCAGTTTCTCTCCATTTAGTTTGATGCTGGCTGTTGGTTTGCTGTATATTGCCTTTATTATGTTTAGGTATGTTCCTTATATCCCTGCTCTCTCCAAGACCTTTATCATAAACGGATGTTGTATTTTGTCAAAGGTTTTTCCAGCAACTAATGAGATGATCATGTGGTTTTTTTATTTTTCAGTCTTTTATATAGTGAATTACATTGACAGATTTTCATGTGTTGAACCATCCCTGCATCTATGGGATGAAGCCAACTTGATCATGGTGGATAATTTTTCTGATGTGTTCTTGGATTCTGTTTGCCAGTATTTTATTGAATATTTTTGCATCAATGTTTACAAGTGAAATTGGTCTGTAATTCTCTTTCTTAGTAATATCTTTATGTGGTTTGGGTATCAGGGTAATTGTAGCCTCATAGAAAGATTTTGGCAATATTTCTTCTGCTTCTATTGTGTGGAACAATTTGAGGAGTATTGGTATTAGTTCTTCTTTGAAAATATTGTAGAATTTTGTGCTGTAACCATTTGGTCCTGAGCGTTTCTTGATTGGGAGACTTTTTATGACTGTTTCTATTTCTTTGGCAGTATAGGTCTGTTTAAATTTGCTTATCTGGTCTTGATTTAATTTTGGTAAGTGATATTTATCCAGAAAGGTGTCCATTTCCTTTAAGATTTCCAATTTTGTGGAGTACAGGTTTTTTGAAATATGACCTAATGAATCTCTGGATTTCCTTGGTGTCTATGGTTATGTCCCCCTTTTCATTTATGATTTTGTTAATTTGGACATTCTCTCTCTGTTGTTTGGTTAGTTTGGATAAATGTTTGCCTATTTTGTTGGTTTTCTCAAAGAACTAACTCTTTGTCTTATTGATTCTTTGTATTGTTTTCTTTGTTTCTATTTTGTTGATCTCAGCTCTCAATTCCATTATTTCCTGCCGTCTAGTCCTCCTGGGTGAGTTTGCTTCTTTTTGTTCTAAAAATTTCAAATGTTCTGTTAACACACTTGCGTGGGATTTTTCCAACTTCTTTATGTAGGCATTTAGTGCTATGAACTTTCCTCTTAATACTGCTTTCATTGTGGTCCATAAATTTGAGTATGTTGTGAGACCACTTTCGTTGAATTTTAGGAAGTCTTTAATTTCTTCCTTTATTTCTTTCTTGACCCAGGTGAGCATTGTTTAATTTCCATGCGTTTATGGGCTTTCTGGAATTTGTTTTGCTGTTGAATTCTAATTTTAAACCATGGTGATCCAATAAGATACATGAGGTTATTCCAATTTTTTTGTATCTGTGGAGGTTTGTTTTGTTACCTAGTCTGTGGTCAATTTTTGAGAAGAGTCCATGAGGTGTTGAGAAGAAGGTATATTCTTTTATGTTTGGATGGAATATTCTATGGATGTCTATTAAGTCCATTTGGGTCATAACATCTTATTTCTCTGTTAAGTTTATGTCTGACAGACCTGTCCAACGGTAAGAGTGGGATGTTGAAGTCTCCCACTATTAGTGTGTGGGGTTTAATGTGTGATTTAAGCTTTAGAAGTGTTTCTTTTACATATGAGGGTATCCTTATATTTGGGGCATAGATGTTCAGTATTAAGGTTTTCTCTTGATGGATATTTTTCTGTGACTAATATGAAATGCCCTTCTTTGTCTCTTTTGATTGATTTTAGTTTCAAGTCTATTTTGTTAGATAGTAGGACATCTACAACAGCTTGTTTCTTAGGTCCATTTGATTGGGAAAAAAATTTCCCAATCCTTTACTCTGAGGCAATATCTGTCTTTGAGGTTGAGGTGTGTTTCTTGTCGGTAGCAGAAGGATGGATTCTGTTTTTGTATCCAATCTGTTAGCCTGTGTCTTTTTATAGGTGAGTTAGGTTCATTTATATTAAGGAATATTAATGGCCAGTGATTGCTAGATCCTGTTATTTTAGGTTTTGTTGTTGGTCATGTTATTGTATGTGTTTTCCTCTTCTTTGGGATTTGCTGGTCTGTGTTTTTATGGATGTAGCCAGTTTCCTTGGGTTGGGATTTTCCTTCTAGAACTTTGTGTTGGGCTGGGTTTGTGGTTAGGTATTGGTTAAATCTGGTTCTGTCATGGAAAAATCTTGTTTTGTCCATCTAAGGTGATTGAAAATTTTTCTGGGTATAGTAATCTGGGCTGGAATCCGTGGTTTCTTAATGTCTGCATAACACTTCACCAGTACTTTCTGGCTTTCTTTGTTTCCATTGAGAAGTCAGGTGTAATTCCGATAAGTCTGCCTTTATATGTTACTTGGCCTTTTTCTTTTGTAGCTGTTAATATTCTTTCTGTATTCTCTATGTTTAGGGTTTTGATTATTATGTGCCAAGGGGACTTTTTTTTAATCTAGTCTATTTGTTGTTCTGTAAGCTTCTTGTATCTTTGTATGCATATCTTTCTTTAGGTTGGGAAAGTTTTCTTCTATGATTTTGTTGAATATATTTTCTGTGCCTTTGAGCTGGAGTTCTTCTCCTTCCTCTATACCTATTAATCTTAGGTTTACTCTTTTCATGGTGTCCTATATTTCCTGGATATTTTGTGATAATGTTTTGTTAGATTTAATGTTTTCATTCATGAGTCTATTTCCTCTATTTTATCTTCAGTGCTTGAGATTCTCTTTTCCATCTCTGTGTTCTGCTGTTTATACTTGCATTTGTGGTTCCTGATCATTTTCTCATAATGTCCGTGTTTATAATTTCCTCAGTTTGTGTTTTCTTTATTGTCTCTATTTCTGTTTTCAAGTCTTTAATCATTTCTTTTACCTGTTTGATTGCTTTTTCTTTGTTTTCCTTAATGGATTTATTGATTTCTTCCAATTTTTTGTTTGCCTTTTCTTCTATTTCTTTGAGGGAATTTTTCATTTCCTCTTTAAGGGCCTCAAACATTTTCCTAAAGTTATTTTTAGGTCATTTTTTTCTGCTTCATTTATATTGGGTGTTCAAGTCTTGCTGTTGTAGGGCCACTAGTTTTTACTGGTGTTGTGTTGCTCTTTGTGGTGCTGAGTGTGTTCTTTCCTTGTCTACCCACCTCTTCCTCTGATTGGTGTAGTTGGTGATGTCTGTGTCTCTGGTGATCAATCTTCCAGGTGCCAGTGGATCCAAGGCTCAGATGGTTGCTCCTCATGATGCAGTCAGGGCCATGGTTTCAGTCACCCTGGAGGTCACTCAGCGCTCCCTGGGATCACTCTGCAGTACATGGGGATTGTTCAAGCTTGCTCCCATAGAGGTTGTTTGCTTAGGGCTGGTTCCACTGAGGTTGTTGCCTTGAGTCTGCTCTGGCAGAGGTCATTGGTTCAGGCCTGCTCCAGCGGAGCTTGTTGCCTTGGACTTGCACTGGCTGTGGTAGCTGGTTCAGGCCTGCTTCAGTGGAGGTCACTGGCTCAGGCCTGTTTCTGTAGATGTCCCTCACCTGGGCCTGCCCACTGAGGAAGTCCCTGGCTTAGGACTGGTCCCACAGAATTCTCTGGTTCAGGCCTGCTCCATTGGGGGTCCCTGACTCCTGCCTGGTCCTGCAGAGGTCTCTGGCTCCGGCTTGCTGCCTCAGCGATGGCTTCCTTGTACCTGCTCCTGTGGGAGTCACTACATCAGGCCTATTCTAGTGGATATTACTGGTTCAGGCCTGCTCCTGTGGAGGTAGCTGGCTCAGGCCTGCTCCAGCCAAGGTCCCAGGCTGGCTTTCAAACTCAAGATCCTGCATCTGTCTCCTAGATGCTAGAAGCACAGGCATGCACAGCTCTTCAAGGACCCTGAAAGATGACACTTAAAGCTTCCTCCTGGGTTAAGTCTCATGACAGAAAGGAAAAAAACAAAAAGTGCCCTAGAAATGGGGGTGGGGTGGGTAGTAAAGATGCTGATGACCAGTCAAAAGTCCTCATGAGCCAAAGAATTAAAGCCACAGTCTGGTGGTCCTTCTCTGTCTCCTGGAGTGTGTAACACCAACTTTGTGGTAGAAAGTCAGATCACCAGTCATTTGTTGACTAGTGAAGCCCACTGTCCCCTCAAAGTGTAATTGGATATTTCCTGTCCCAAACGCCTAGCCCCAAATAACTGACTCAAAGGCTGAATATAAATTGTAAATGCTCTGCCGATAGCTCAGGCTTAATACCATCTAACTCTTACATTTTAAATTAACCCGTATTGCTTATTTATGCTCTGCCATGTGGTGTGGTACAGTCATCTCCAGCTCCCTCTGCATCTGGCTGGTGACTCCTGACTCCACCCTTCTCCTTCCCATCATCCTTAGTCTGGCCATTGCTCTGATACTTCCTGCCTGGCTACTGACCAATCACCATTTTATTAAACCAATTCAAGTGACAAATCTTTGCAGTGTGCAAGAGGATTATTCCACAGCAACGAAGTCAACTTTACATGTGCTGGAAGGTTCATCTTCTGGCTTCTGACAAAGCCTCTGGCAGATAAGGGCCTGATGCCTGTGGGCATCACTGGGGCTGCTCACTGGCCTCCCCAATCCTCTGACCCTAGGCCCATGGCCTGGGGGTGGAGGTTGGAGGCAAATGTGCACAGTGTGGTTGTCTAGCTTCTGTCCTCCTCATCTCACCATTCAACTCTTCCTCATTTTCTCCCAGGCACCCCAACGGTGAAGGTGACCAATAGGACATATCCAGTGGGCAGGATCACCTTGACATGCCGGGCTTTTAATCTGTATCCTCCTGTGACCACCCTGACCTGGCTTCAGGATGAGAAGCCAGTACAGCAGCGGATCTTTGAGCCTAGGACCATCCTGCCCAGTGGGGACGGGACCTACCAGACCTGGGCATCTGTTTGGATTCTTCCTGGACAGGAATCAGAGTTCACCTGCTACCTGAGGCAGTATAATATCAAGGTCCCTGCTGTCCCTAGTGAGAAAATGGGACAACTATCCACCTCAGAGGGTAGGAGGCAGGGTCAGGAAGGATCCATAGGTCACACAATGACCAGTGATACTGCTAGCTCCCCTCCTGCCTCAACTCTATCTGCACTCACCATTGTGTTGGTGGTGGTGGTTCTGGCTAAAGACAACTGAAGCTAGAACACCAAGGACAGAAAACTGCCAGGTAAGGAGCCCATGTTGGGGGATCTGCTTTCTCCTCTTGCTTTTGACTGGAGACAGAGCTATGTTTTCTTCTCTCCTTTGCTGCTGAATTAGGAGGGAAGTGGGGGAGCCTTTTTCTGCATCAGTTACATAGAGGCTACTGAGGAGTCAGGCCAAGCAGAAGAAGGGCAGTGTCAATCAAAACCCAAACAACCCTCTCTCATAGTAAAGAGAATAGAACATGGTTATTCTGCAGTCAGATATGACTGACAAAGGCCTAGGAACACTGATCCAAGTCTCCCCAAAAACCATGATCCAAAGCAGTTACCACCTGATGAAATGTTTCTTGTAGTAGAACAAAAAAAAATCTTCAATCAAGATATTTTTCAAATACATTAGTGGAAACATCAGGTAGATGGGGTCGAGCAAGGAGAGGCAAGTATCTTATGACATTCTGGTTGGTGGAAGCTACTGATCCCTTGATACATTTCAAAGGCTTCACCTGCTTGTCAAAAGGATAGTAGGTCAGACTCAGAGGTCCACTAAAGATAGCCCTAGGATAACTGGCAATATTCAAAATCTCCACCGTTAGGGAGTTCTCATCAGTCCCTTGAACTCTAATATTGCTGTGTCTGTGTGTGTGTGTGTGTGTGTGTGTGTGTGTGGTGTATATGTATTTTTGTGTGTGTATTGTTTATGTGTGTGTTATATGTGCAATGTATGGGTATGTCGATGTGTGGATGTGTGGTATATGTGTGTATATGCAGTTTGTGTGTGTGGTGTGTCATGTGTGTATGTGGTATGAGAGGGAGCACATGCCAAGATGCACATGCGGAGACAAGAGGGTAACTTTGTAGAACCTGTTCTTTTCACCAAACTTTATGGGGGACCTAGGAATCCCATTCAAGTCATGGTCTGAGCCACAAGCACCTTTACCCATTCAGTCATCCTCCTCAGCCTGGACTACTTCAAATACTCTTTTTAAAAGAAGAGGAATTATTAATGTCAGGATAGAAAAAAAGGAGGTCACCCTTGTGAGGAATTAAGATTTCATGGGCCTTGGAGGGGCCTGACCAAATCCTACTTCACAGTCAGAAGGAGAAATGCAATCTTGGGAGGAGTTTCTTGTAATAACTTCCATGCTGTCTCAAAAATGTGACTATTATTTAATTCTAATCTTATTGGATACCCTAAATACCTGTTGACCGTGCTTTAACCTGTTCCTTGAATTTGACATGCTCCCTATAGATTTGACTCACACCTGGTATGAATAAGATATTCTGCCAAATAATTTTTAAATGTTCAGTCAAGTTCCCAGGTAATCAAAATTTCTCTGGAAATCCCCCAACCCTTGAAAAAAACCCTAGTCTTACAGTTTGGGGCTCATATATACCCCACCTCCTCCAGTGTTTGATGCTTTTTTCTTTTCAAACCCCTGCTTTAGAGAGAGAGCCCTGTCTGACAGAAAATACAGCTCGCTTGATTTGACCAAAGAATTTGGCTAATTGTCTCTACTCTTGTTCAGCGGGATAAACTATTGGAGGCCCCAGTGAGATCAAGACCCCCAACCCATATTCTGAAGCCAGACCTTCAACTCCAGGACTCCAGACCCAAATCCTGCCTTGGAAGGTGCACACCTTGAAGATCTTACAAGACTCCAATGCATACTTTAGGTTTGGTAGATGTTGTAGTGGGCGGTAGCACTAATAAGAAACCAGGAAGCCCCTGTCTGAGGAGTGCTCCATTGGTGAGTCATAGAAGGCAGCTCCTTCTATGGCAGCGTTTCTCAATCTGTGGGTCTCGATCACTGGAGAACACATATTTCCTATAATCTTAGGAACTGACAGCCCACTTGGTAGCAAAATTATAGTTATGAAGCAGCTATGAAAATAAATTTATGGTTAGGAGTTCCTAAGACCCTCCCTCATAAATCGATGCTTCCTGATGGTCATGAACCACGGTTGAAAACCCCTGTTCTATGGCATAGTTGTACTGTTTCTAATGGATCCTGTCTAAGGACAGAGAGGTCCCTGGTGAGGTATAAGAACTCCTGTCCCGAGCAATAGCAAGGCATTTCGGGGTCTTAGTGTATTATTCTTGGTCCCCTGTGCTTTGTTCTGTATGTTGTTTCTCTCCTGCCCAGGGCACTAGTGAAAAGTCACTCTGCCCGCCTAGTTCTGGCCTCTGGGGACCAAGAAGGATATCTGAAAGTCAAGTTAAATGTATGAATGTAGGTGGGCATCACATGCTTTGTTTTTGACCAGTCTCTTTGGGCTACATGAACATTCTCTGTGCTATGTTTAATGGTTATGATTTTTGCTGACTCTGTCCCTTGAACATTTTGTGTTCTATGGTTTCATTTTTGCCCTGTCTGTCTCTTTAACTCTTCTGCCCTGCTTTGCCCCCCTCCACCTGCCAAAACAGCAGCCACTGAAGCCCAGAGAAAACTTTGTTTTCCCTTCCTGAGTAGGCTGATAGGTGCAGGCTTTGGACGCACATGCATAGCCAGAGCAGGCAGATGGACAGCAAGGACTTGAAGGGGAAGGTGGGAAGCTGGATGAACAGGCAGTGGGAGCCAGGATCTGGGATCTGCCCCAGCACTTGTGTTACCCCACAAACTCCCCAAGGGTGAATCCCAGTGGATCCTTCCTGCCTCCTCACCCCAGGAAAATCACAGCTTACAAAGTGAGGAGGGAGAAGTACACCCAGCAGGAGAAGATGGGGCAGTGATCACTTTGGTTGTTTGCCATGACTGCTTTTTCTGTCCTTGAGTTTCTCTGGTCCCTCCTACTGGTTACTGAATTGAATTTAGCAGGGATTCAGGGGGTTTTTTTAGATACAGACTCTATTGAAATATCATTTTACACTGCTCTGCTTGATGGAAAAGCTGGCTGTGGAGTTGGGCCATCGCTCCTGCTTCTCTAGACCCAAGCACATTTATTTAAAATTTTTCTGTCTGCTCTATGAACCTTCTATGAGACACCTGATTTTATGATAAAAATAGAACAAAGCAAAACAGCCAAAAAAAAAAGCAGGGCAGTGGTGGCTAGCATCTTCAATTCCAGCTCTCAGAAAGTAGAGACAGGTAGATCTCTGAGTTAAAAGCCAGCCTGGTCTACAGACAGAGTCTAGGGTGCCAAAAAAAAAAAAGAGAACAAAAATAAAAAGAAATTCAGAGGGAAATGAGGATTTCAAAAATGATGTCCCACAGGTAACTCTAGAGCAAAGACAACATCTTAAATTTTGTCTTGCCTTAAACAAAAGCACTGACTTTAGTAATGTGCACAAGCCTCTTGCTGAGTCTACGGGACTGTGAACTACAAGCAGCCACCTCAATGTTTTCCTTTATAAGAGTTTTCCTTTGTAAGCAATTGTCATGGTATCTCTTCACAATAATAGAAATCCTAAGACAAAGATTGGTACCAAGGACTGAGGTATTGCTGTGACAGACCTGACCATACTTGTGTTTGAAAGAATATGGATCTTGAGACTGTGGAATAGAAAAGCAGTAGAATGCTTTAAATGCTACTTAATAGGGCATACTAGTAGGAGCCTGGAAGACAGTGGTGCTGAGTGCGATTTAAGCTGCAGGGACGGGCCTGGCTCAAGAGGCTTCAGAGGAAAAGCGCTTTAGTATGTGACATAGAGATTGTTCTTGTGATATTTTGGTGAAGAAAGTGGTTGCTTTTTGCCCTTGTCCAAAGAGTCTGTCTGAAGAGTTTTGAAATAATTTCATTGGCCAAGGAAATCTCAAAACAGCCCAGTATAGACTCTGTCATGTAGTTATTAGTTGTAACTCTAATGAAGATTTATAATGAAAAGGAGCAAGCTGAGCAGAGGAAATTACAAAATGTAAAATTTTAAAGAGAAAAGAAACACCAAAAAATGGAATGGAACTAAGTCTTTTGTTCAAAGAGATAAACAGATTAAGAAATAGAATAAAGGAAATGGTAACTTTAAGACAAGATCCCAACCAGTTAAATTTCCAACTTGTGGAAAGGAATTAAAGAAAAGCTTAGAGCTGGGTGTGGTGGTGCATGCCTTTAATTCCAGCACTGGCAGAGACTGGCAGATCTCTGAGTTTGAAGCCAGTCTGGTCTAACTATTGAAAACAGAAAACTGGAGAAGATGAAGTCGGGAGGTGGTGGCGCACACCTTTAATCCCAGCACTCAGGAGGCAGAAGTAGGCGGATCTGTGTGAGTTCAAGGCCAACCTGGTCTACAAGAGCTAGTTCCAGGACAGGCTCCAAAGCTACAGAGAAGCCTTGTCTCAAAAAACCCAAAAAATAAAAAAGGAAGGAAGGAAGGAAGAAAGCTGGTGAAGATGTAATTGTTCCAGCCATAGTAAACAACAGGACTTGGTGGCAACTTTGGTCACGTAGTTCTGGCTACGGAATTTGCCCCTGAAACTAAGGAAAGCCACTGAGGCCAAGCATGTGTCAGGGAAGTCCACGAATGGAGGCCATTGTGTGATGCTGTGAAGGTGAAGCCTGGATTGCCTTGGAAAACTCAAAATGTTAGAGATGCCAGGATTGTGGGATATCTACTGAGGAAATCTGCTAAAAGGGAGTGGAATCACCCAAGAAAAGGAAGTATGTTGTAGTCAACAATGGATTGGAGACCTAAAGAGAATTTTGACATCAGATATGGAGATGCAGAGTTTGGAGTTTGTCCAGCTGGTATTTGGTCTTGTTTTGGTCCAGTATCTCCTCACTATGCTCCCTTCCTTATGTTTTGGAATGGTAATGTAATGTATATCCTGTGCCATTATATGTTGGAAGTATGCTTTTTGATTTTAATTTTACAGGGGATTACAGTTAAGAAATTACATGAGTCTCAGAAGAGATTTTGGACTTTGAAACAAATTTGGTAGTCTCAATAGTTAGAGACTATTTGGACTTTTGAAATTGGACTGAGTGCATTTTTGCAATATGATATGGCTACAAGCTTCGAGGGCCGAGGAGTGGAATGTGGTGTTTTGAAAGAAAATGATCCCCAAAAGGAGTGGCACTATTAGGAGAGGTGGCCCTGCTGGAAGAAGTGTGTCACAGTGGAAGTGGACTATCAGGTCTTATATATGCTCAAGATACCACCCAGAGTCACAATCCACTTCCTGTTGCCTTCTGGTCGAAAGGAAACCAACACCATGTCTGCCTGCACACTGCCATCTGCCCAACATGATGACCATAGACTGAACCTCTGAACTGTAAGCCACCATCCCAATCAAATGCTTTCCTTGATAAGAGTTGCCCTGGCCATGGTGTCTCTGCACAGCAATAGAAACCCTAACTAGGACAAGGACTGCATGAGAGGATGAAAGCCCAGTACTTTGATATGCAGATGCAGGTTATTTGTAGCAAACTCTGCAAAAGCTGAGGTCTGGCTCTTACTGCTGGATGTAGCTGGGGCATCAATGGCTACCGCATTCCCTGCTAAATTCTGCTGGGCCAACAGCAACCCAGTCTAAAACCCCCACAGCAAGTTCAATGATTCTAAGGGCTAATGTTAAAATGAAAATGCTAATAAATTTAAAATTAAGTTTGAATCTTGGTCTTATAGAAGCTAATAATTTGTTCAAGACTCTTTAAAAAATAATTAAGGGGGAACTGGGAGGGGGAGAGAGGGAAAGCAGGGGTCGGGATGTACTGCATAAGAGTAGAATAAATTAAAACATTTTTAAAAAGTATAACAAGGGTTGATAGGCACCCAATAAATGACTAATATGTTCAGAACTATGCTTATAGTCACACTGACGACAAGTGTAATCTATTTACATGGATTACTCCCTATGTGTGTTTTCAGGGTTAAGCCTTAAACAAATAACTAAAAACACAAATAAAGTTTATTTAAATCAGGTATTCTTAATAGACGGCCCTCAACACTTTTCAGAGCTCTGCTGGATATGGCATTTAAAATGTTTAATGGAAAAGTTTTCTATGATTGACAGAAATGCCAGATCCTAGAGGTGACCCTAAGCACTCCAAAGAAGACAGATGGAGCACACGCCCGATTGTGGTCATGTTAACCACTGGGAAGAGCTGCCCATGCCTTGCCTGCTGCCATGGTCCTGCCCAAACTGTGGACACTGTAGGGTTGACTCTGGCTCCTCAAAGTGAGGTCAGTTCTCCCAGGTGCCTTCTCCACAGGAAAATCTCTCAGACCTTCTGGATCTGGTAGCTGAAGGTCAATAATGTCCTGTATGACAGCCAAAGACTGACCTCTGTACCCAACAAAGCTACCAGCAGAGCCTAGAGTAACTGTCCAGGTAACTGTAAGTCTTTGTTGTTTTAGTTGATATAGAGGCCATTAGTCTTCCTGCTGTGAATCCTCCTCGGTTCTCTGATGGTTGACTGTAGCTATATCAGCTTAACAACAGCTGCCTGGCCACCCATTGCACAGATGACAATCTGCCCTGCCTGTCTAGAGCTACTAAGTCTCCTGATGAGAAAAGCGAACACACAGACAGCTTGTCCTTCCTAACAGGCTTCACAGTGAATGATAAACAACTTTCAGATGTAACTTTTATTACTCAAAAGAACTTGCTTTGCAGCGATGGCTCTCAGTAATCAGTCACCTGCGTTTCGTGGTAAATGATTGAATCAAAAGGGTTTTAAATTTATGTACATTCTGAGAGACTAAGAAAATATTTTAAAATAAATACAAAGGTAAAGGCCTGAGAATATGAAAAATTAAATAAATTACAAAGAGCTAAGAAAATAAGATAAATACAAGTTACTCTATACTATTATTATACAAAGATTTCAAAGGTTCAGAGTTCTAACATTGATCAATGGACTTCTGATACTCTGGTAAAGCACTGAGCTATTATTTTTTTTTAAAGATTTATTTATTTAGTTTACAGTGTTCTGCCTGCATGTATGCCTGCAGTCCAGAAGAGGGTAACAGATTTCATTACAGATGGTTGTGAGCCACCATGTGGTTGCTGGGAATTGAACTCAGGACCCCTGGAAGAGCAGTCAGTGCTCTTAACCTCTGAGCCATCTCTCCAGCCCGCACTGAGCTATTATTATCAAGGTTTTAAATTTCCTTTGGATGTCTTTCAAATAGAGACTTGAAAATGCTTCTCATAATGCTAAAAATATCTCTCCCCAATCTATATCCAGCCCCCTGGACATGGACACACATACACACAAAGAATGTCCTTATGTCCTTGCCTTTAAACCCAAAGCCATAGTTTTTGCTGTGATTCAGAAACATGAGTCTTCTCCAGCTGTTCACAGACACCCATTAGCTGCTTTTTCTACAATGAGGATTTTAGCACTGATGGCGAACAGTGGAGATGCTAATATAACTGTTAACTTATCTAGACGTAATTCCTGTGAGCTTCAGGAAGTCGGGGAGGTCAGAAGACTTGGCTCCACCTCTCATAGATCAATAGACAGCCTGTTCCCCCACACTGCCTATTCCAGAGGGTGGGATCTCTCTTGCTCCCCCACCCTCCCACTCCAGTCTTGAGACTCCTCCCCTCCCATAACTACCAGGATTATAAGCCAGTAAACTCCAAATGTAAACGTTTCCTTTATGTTCTTTAACTTCTATCCCTGGTCTGTATTTTGTTCAAACCCCTGCTTTAGGGAGATAGCCTTGTCTAACAGAAGATACAACTCGCTTAATTAACACCTACTTTCTACTTTTTTCATAGAAATGTAAATGTTCCCCCTCCCGTTTTTTTTAATTAGTTCTTTGAGAACGTTGTAAGAGTCTCTGTGGCTGAAAACACCAAGCACTTTGAATCAAGGCCTTGGAAGGCCAAGGTTGACCTCTGTTCTCGACACTCATTTGCCACACACTTTCATGAGCACCAGCCCACACATATGTATGCACACACACACATATTCACGCACACACTCACGCACAAAAATCAGTATTTCATAATTATTATGCAATTTGACAGATACGTCCCAGGCAGGAGAAACCACACTAACAGAATTTTTCCAGTTGTGGCTGTCTGGCAAGTGAGAGCAGTAACCTGTGGAAAAACATAGAACTTAACATCTGACTAAAACACAAAGTTCAAGGTCTTTTAGATTTACTTTAAAAGAGGTATCTTTATTACTTTTAATACTCTGTGGGGGGGAGGGGTATGTGAATATGAGTGCAGTCCCAACTGCGGCCAGAAGAGTGTGCTATATCTCACCAAAGCTTGAGATAAGAGTTTGACTATGAGCCACCTGTTACAAGTGGTGCTCCTAACCATTGAGACATCTTGCCAGCACCCAAACTACAACTCTTTAACGACTCATTAAATACAAAGACAAAGACAAAATCCTGTTCCGTGTGGCAGTTTTTTGTAAATGTCACTCCATCACCCAGTTTTATCTTGGGGCACTGAAATTTGACCCAGGGAATTTCTAGAAACCTTTAATTATAACCAATTAGTTCCAGTTTAGACTGCCACTTTTGCCTCATCAGTCTATTTCCATTCTAGAACAATCCCTTACCTTAGGACAAACTCATTTGACCTCTGAATGTTATTTCCTTTCCCTTTTTAAACTTGTGTTTTTAATTTTTACGGCTTGTTCTTGTTTGATGGTTCCTTTCTCATTATCACAAAATGTAAAAAGCATTGGTTAATAAAATAACTATATTCCAAATGAAAGCTCAAACCTGACATGCTGGTTCAGGCCTTTAATCCCAGCACTCAGGAGGCAGAGGCAGGGGGATCTCTGTGAGTTCCGGGCCAGCCTGGCCTACACAGTGAGATCCTGCTCCCTTCCCACCCCCCAAAAAAAAAACTTTACTATATATGAAGTCTCCTGTCTACCTTTCTACAACAATCGTTTCCTCTATTAAAATTTTTTTCTTCTAAAAATATTCTTCTGTTTGAAGAGAAAAAGAGCCAGAAGGTAAGACCCTATTGCTGAAAAGACTACATGCCCTGGTTGCCAGACACAGAGTACTCAGGTCAGAATTGAGCTGGAAGTTTCCTCCCTGCCTACTTGCTCATTTATTAAGGAACTGGGAATTTTTTTTACAATGCATTTTGATATACTTTAACTGACGTGTAATAGTTGTATTTTTATTTTGAGGAGTGTTTAACTTTTTTTGGTTTGTTTTTGTTTGTTTTTTAAACCAACTCTCACAGAGCTCACCCTAGACTCAAACACACTTATCATCCGTTGTAGTCCTGTTGTTCTCACCCAAGAGAAGGAACACAGGACAAATGCCTTGTGACATTTTACTGCGCCCCAGAGTTCCGGCTGGGAGCAAGCACTCCCGTGATCACATGTCTAAGAGGCCCCGAGCCGAGTGAGCAGGGCGTTGTAAAGGTAAAGCCATTCGTTAACATGTTTGTGATGGCTGCTAGCAAGCGTGACAGGACGTGTGCTTTAATAAGATTACGGCACAGCTGTGTCACCATGTAGAGCGATGGCGCGTGAGTTCTGGTTCCTGTAAAGCGCTGTGCTGTGCCACCATGCAGAGCGATGGCGCGTGAGTTCTGGTTCCTGTAGAGCGCTGTGCATACCTGACGGTCAGGCTGACCTCAGTTTTCGCCCGAGGTCGGGTAGAGTAAGCAAATGTGGGTTTTTTTACTTCACATCTATGACCCTTGAGGTTCTGAGGCTTGATGTCGTTGAGTTTCCATGATTGTTTCCTGGAAAAAAAAGACTACATTTCCCAGCTTCCCTTGCAGCCAGGCAAAGTGACTCTGGAATGGAGGGATAACGAGAGTGCACACACACACACACACACACGTACACACGCACCTTGTAGTCATTTCCACTCCTATACAGGCTCACAGACATCTTTTTCCTGCAGGCGTTCTCTCATCTACCCACGTGAATGGGACTAGGTGCCGTTGCCAATAACAAACGGGGTCCGGTTTATGCAGGGTCAGGTGCCTCTTTCTGCCTTCCGTCTCTTTTTTAAGCCGCCTCAGAAATTTTGCACTGATAAATCTGGTTTTCATATCACACTTACGTGTTGTGCATTAAATACCTGCCCCTACTTGTATGTTTCCAGGGTCCTTATGCCCGGAGGAGCAGTCTGACTCTCGAGAAGTTCCCCCAAGTCAGGCCCCACCCAGACGTGCAGAGATCTGCAAAGGCACGTTCCTCTGGCCTGGATCTCCAGCTACAGAGCACGCACGCAGCTTTGGTAAGTGTGTGTGTCGGGGGGGAGGGGCACGACTCAGCACTGGGGTGAGTAGCGCCAGTGGTCACTAGGACTATCACAAACTTGGTCACTTTCTGCATCTTCCCTGTCTTCTCACGTTCTGGCCGCACTAATTTTGGCTTCCCTTATGAATGCAAGCTGGCTTCCAGAAGTTCCCACGGTTATGAGCGTCCTCCAAAAACATCAGTAGCTTCACTTTCTTTCCACTGTCTCCCAACAACAGCCATACTGATTTCTCAAAGATGGCAAAAATCACTCAATGGCTCTCATCCCGAAGTACTCCTCTGTGGCTTCCTAGAACCCTAGGGATGAAACGCAAGCCCCACTACCCACACACCCCAGTCCTTCCCACCCCAACAACTCCTCCAGTCTTTAAAAGTCCACACCTAAGGGTCTCTCCGCCCTTCCCTCACGGCCAGCCCTCCCAGTCCTTCACGAGGGGTTCAACCGCCCAAGTTTCAGCTCCGCCCCAGATCCGGCCTTCTCACTTATGATTGGTCTGACCTTACCAGTAGTCACGTTTCCATAAGTCAAAAATGACGCCCGTCAATGGAGAACCCGCCTCCCCGAGCTGGCTATTAGTCTATCTGGGAGAGGCGTTCCTAACCAGTGTAAGGAGCCCTCCATGGCGTCGATCTCTTTTTCTGATGATTGTTGACCTTTCTCTCTTCCTGGCTTCTCGAGCTGATTAAGACAAGCAGGAGAGCCTGAAATATGTGACTTCAGCATAAAGCCCAGGAAGTTTACACAGCTGGTAGTTCCTATTATGATTGCCACTGCTATTATCAGGAGCGAAGTGCTCTGTGGGTGTTTGTGGGGTAGAATCACTACAGAAACTCTTCCGGGTTCGGCAGCTGCTTTTGCAAAAGCTGGCGAGAAAGCCCGGAGAACGGGGTAATGGCGCCATCTGGTGAACAAAGGAAGGAACTGTGGGAACCCAGCCCATCAAACGCCCACCCACACCATCCCCACCCTTCACGAAAGCCTGAAACCTTCCAACAACCAGAGTAATTGTGTGAAATTTATTTCTTCTTAAAACAGTTACTGCTTTTTATTTACTTCTTGTCACACCCACTAGGATCTGTGAAGACAGAAACCTCTCTTGTTTGGAGCCCTTGATCCTCCAACAGGAGGGTGGAGCCCACGGTAGGTGCTCAGTAAATAATATGGGATGTTATTCACATCAACACTGCCCTCAGCCAAAGCCTAAGTCTCCCAAAAAAAAAAAAAAAAAGTAAAGATTCTCTTAAGAACCAGGACCTATGTTTACCCCCACTTCTGAGTCAGACCCAGGACCCTAAGACCCTGCGTGGGCAAGTTCCCTGTTCTGACAGCTGATGTGGGAATCCCCTCTGTATGCTGTGATTACCATTAATGAATAAGAAACTACTTTGGACCTATAGCAGGGCAGAACTTAGCTAGGTGGGGAAAACTAAACTGAATGCTGGGAGGAAGAAAACTGAGTCAGGGAAAAACCATGGAGCCACCAGAAACAGACACACCGAAATTTTGCTGGTAGGCCACGACCTAGTGGTGATGCACAGATTAATGGAGATGGGTTAAATTAAGATGTGAGGGGCTGGAGAGATGGCTCAGTGGTTAAGAGCATTGCCTGCTCTTCCAAAGGTCCTGAGTTCAATTCCCAGCAACCACATGGTGGCTCACAGCCATCTGTAATGAGGTCTGGTGTCCTCTTCTGGCCTGCAGGCATACACACAGACAGAATACTGTATACATAATAAATAAATAAACAAATAAATTTTAAAAAAAATTAAGATGTGAGAGTTAGCCAATAAGAAGCTAGAGCTAATGGGCCAATCAGTGATTTAAATAATATGGCTTCTGTGTGATTATTTTGGGTCTGAGTTGCTGGGTAGCCAGGAAACAAACTAACGGCCTCCCCACAACAGGCAGTAACTAGCCTCCAGCACAAGCCGCATTTCTAAAGTAGTGGGCATGGGAAGAGAGTATGGTGAAACCCAAAAGCTCCGTGGTCTCTGGGTACGAAGAGAGCAGGGTGACGACTGGCTGAGTATCCAGGAGCTCCCACGGTAGGACAGGAGGAATGGGGATTTGAACAGGAGATACGTAGGCTGTGAATTAGGAACTGCTGGCAGGTTCATCCAAAGACTCCATATTCTTCAACTGAAAATTTTGACGGTTGGTTGGTTGGTTGGTTGGTTGGTTGGTTGGTTGGTTGGTTTTAATGTGTATGGATGTTTTGCCTGCAAGAGTGTAGGCACTAGGCACTACATAGGTATATGTCTGGTGCCCACCAACTTGAGAACATTGGATGCCCTGAACCCATCTGTAATCTGGGGTTACAGATGGCTGTGGGTGCTGGGAACCAAACTTGGGTCCTCTGAAACAACTACTGAGCCATCTCCTGATGGGCACAATTTTTAGCATGTCCAAGAATGCTTATGATCTGTCCTATCCTGTCCCTTTAAGAAAAAAGCCATGCCTACTCCCTCCCCTGTCTGCTGAAGCAAGCTGATCTTCAGCTTCCAACCTGGGTCCCTTCCTTTTCTGTCTCTCTCCCAGAGAGGTAGCTGCTCCTGTGGATCCTCTCCTTCCTCTCTCTCTCTCTCTCTCTCTCTCTCTCTCTCTCTCTGCCTCTCTCTCTGCTCTTCTCCCCTTTCCCCTCCATAACCCACTAAATAAACATAACTTCACTCTGCATGGTATGCCTATCCCTCTGTCTCTCACCCGCCACATGGCTCCCTGCCCGGGACCAGTCACCTTCAGAGACCTGCAGCACGGTCTCATGGCATGCCCATCCATTTGTCTCTCCTCGTGGGACTTGCTGCCCCTTCAAGGTCTCTCACCTGCCACGCGGCTCCCTGCCTGGGACTCACTGCCCCTCATGGTCCACTGCAGCCACTTGGGGAACTGCGCTGGGACTGGCTTCTCTCAGGACCCGCAGCCTGCTGCTTGGCTCCACTTCAGGTGCAAGGTGGTCTCATGGCCCACTGCCCGCTGCAGCCACTTGGGGATTGGCAGCATTTTATTTATTTTTTTTAAATATTTATTTATTTATTTATTATGTATACAATATTCTGTCTGTGTGTATGCCTGCAGGCCAGAAGAGGGCACCAGACCCCATTACAGATGGTTGTGAGCCACCATGTGGTTGCTGGGAATTGAACTCAGGACCTTTGGAAGAGCAGGCAATGCTCTTAACCTCTGAGCCATCTCTTCAGCCCGGCAGCATTTTATTTAAACCCCCACTGGAGCTTTCATCTTTGCAGCATGAATCATCATTAAAAAGATCTTTTAAGCAGAGATTGCCTGAGTTATTGATGGTGATGGGTACAAACACCCTGGGAATGACCTGCATGGTGAAGGGGTGGAGCCAGGAGAGAGTTCATTCTCTCCACTGATTATCATGTAAGTTTCCCAGGTATTAGGCAAGAAGCCTGATGCCAAAATGAGCTTTTCCCCTCCCATCATCCTGTGCCAACTCCTGAGCGAGAGCTGTGGTTTATGGCAGAGGAAATCCATTGTGTTTTTGTTGGAGACAGAGTCTCTTATAGCCCAGACTAGCCTTAAACTCCCTACACAGCCAGATGACCTTGAATTTGTGAGCCTCCCTGGAGTTGTGATTGCAGGCGTGCACTACATTGCTTGGTTTATATGACTCTGCATCTAATGTTCTCATACTTTTTGTAAAAAGGTGACACTGTGGGCCTGAAACCCAGGGCCTTGGACATGATACGCAATTGTTTTACCACTGAACCATGCTCCCAATCCCTCACTGGCGGATTCTAGGTAGGTGCTCTACCATTGAGCCACGCCTCAGCCCCTCACTGGGGGATTCTAGGCAGGGACTCTACCACTGAACCACGCCCCAGCCCCTCACTGGGGGATTCTAGGCAGGGGCTCTACCACTGAGCCACACCCTCAGCCCCTCACTGAGGGATTCTAGGCAAGGACTCTACCATACTACTGAGTCATGCCCCAGAAGCAGGAAAAGGAAGAAATGTAGAGGGATATGGGAAGGGAAAAATATGGAAAGAGGAAAAGAAAAAAATGGGAGCTGGAGAAACAGCGCAGCTGGTAAGAGGGTTGCTGTGCAAGCACGAAGACATACATGTCATTCATTGCACTGCCATCTCCAAAAGGCTGCTGACAATTTTTCCTCCACTAGGAATGTGTTGGAGCCTCTTCACCCCCACCACAGATGAGGATGAGGGTGTCACCAATTCTTAAATAAAGGGGTAAGCAGTATCTTTTTGTACCTTTCTTTTTTTAAAAAAAAAAAAGAGAGAAAGAGAGGAGGTCTCATGTAGTGCTGGCCTCAGTGAGGATGCCCTTTGATCCATGACCCTCCTCTCCCCATCTCCCACGTACTAGGATTACAGACAGACACATTCACTACCACTTTGGGCTAAATTAGTTTTTCTTTGGATGGGTGGGTGGGTTGTTTTGTTGTTGTTGTTGTTGTTTGGAGTTTTGGTTTGGTTTGGTTTTTCAAGACAGAGTTTCTTTGTCCTGGAACTAACTCTGTAGATCAGACTGGCCTGCCTGCCTCTGCCTCCTGAGTTCTGAAGTTGAGGCTTTTATGGTTAAGGCTCTGGGTGCAATACCTAGGACCATAAAAACAAAACAAAAATTAAATTTTTTCTATTGTTGTGGCCTGCAGAGATGTCAAGATTATACACTTCTCTTGAAGAGGCTCTGGGTTTCAGTCCCAGCACCTACAGTTGGTGGCTCACAACCTCCTGTAACCCCAGCTCGGGTGACCAGTGCTCTAGCCATGGTGGACACCCTCACTCACATGCCCATACCCACAAACAAGAACACACACAAACAGGCACATACACAATCAAAATCAAAAAATATTTTTAATTACTAGCTGTAATGGTGCAGAGGCCTTTAATCCCAACTCTTGGAAGGCAGAGGTAGGCAGATCTCTGAATTTGAGGTCAGGTTGTCTACATATGGAGTTCCAGGACAGCCAGGGCTATATAGAGAATTAATTGATCAGTTATTCTGAAACCAGCCTTGCCTACATAGCCAGTCCCAAGCTAGTCAGGGCTACAAAGGAGACCCTTTCTTAAGTTTCTTCGAATGCCGTGAGCCGTGTGCGGTGGCCCCTCACTTGTGCCTGACTTGCACCCCTCATCACAAGTTATCAGCTGTGCATGGCGTGAGATGGATTCGACTGTTTCCGAATGGCTGCCCAGGAAATTAGCTCTTTGTGCCTTTACCACCAATATATACAGACAAAAGGCTTGGGTCACTAAACAAACCTCAGAGAAAGAAATTCCTCTGGCCCTTAGCCTAGGCATCATTTATAATACACTTTGATCTGGTTTTAACTTTCTGCCCTTCCACTTATTATCAGGGTGCCCCAGCTGTCACCTGGCATAGGTGGCATAGATGGCGTGACTACTTCCTTCTTGAAATGTCTACTTCCCTTACCTTCTGTCACTGGACACTGTCCTGGATTTCCTTCTGCTTCTGCGCCCCACCCCTCCTCCACCCTCTTTCTCTCCCCCTCCCACCTCTGAGACAGAGGCAGAAAGATCAGGAGCTCAGGGTCAACCTCAGCCAGTACAGTCAGGCTAGGCTGCCTGAGATTCTGCCTCAAAAACAAACAAGAGCACTTGGGAGGCAGAGGCAGGAGGATCGCTATGAGTTGAAAGCCACTATGATGCAGTGAGAGGACCACGCTCCACAGAAATGCTCTGCCTCACAGAACAGCAGCCACAGAGCTCCTAAGAAGCACACCTGGAGTCGAGTCCTCAGTCCCCTCGCATGAGGAACAGTCTCTCACAAAGTGCATTCTGTGAACCTGGCACCATATTGTCTCCAGACCCCAGGAGACTCAGTTCAGATTCTCTCCATTTCTAGGCTCAAGGTGTTACTCAAAAGATGGTCAGTGTCCTTTCTGGTGCCCTTTCCTTCCCTCTGCCAGACCCTGAAACGGGCACAGGTGCCAACACACAGCTCCACCAAGCAGGTCCCCACAGACCCAGGGCTCCAGCTCCCTCTGCTTCTCTTCTCCCCTCGCCTGAATCCAGGCTCTGTGCATCCTCCTACCTCTTTAACACTCCCAAGTGCACGCCCTAGTATGCCCTAATACATACCAGCAAGCCCAACAAAAGCAGATTTTCTGAGACAAGCAGATCTCTGTGAGTTCGAGGCCAGCCTAAACTACAACAGCTAGTTTCAGGACAGGCTCCAAAGCTACAGAGAAACCCTGGCCTCAAAAAAAAACAAAAAACAAAAAAACAAACAAAAAAAAAGCATAGCTCCAAAGCTACAGAGAAACCCTGGTTTCAAAAAAAAAAGCATATTTTCTTCGTCACACCAGGGAATGCAAGCACTCTTGTCCCTTCTCTGCTTACACCCAGACCCCCAGATGGTGCTCAGCACGGCACAAGTACTCAGCAGTTACTGGATGATTGAAATGATGTATGGTCCACCACCAAGTCATGTGGCTCTCCTCACTAGCTTTTCTGTGTCTGTGTCTGTGTGTGTTTGCACACACACACACACACACACACACACACACACACACACGACTGATTAAGAAACCTGATTCCCTGGAACTGGAATGACAGGTGGTTATGAGACCCTGCTGTGGGTGCCGTGAGCACTCAGGCCCTCTGGAGAGTCGTATGTACTCTTACTCACTGAGCCACTTCCATTATTTCTAATCCCTCCACCTCGCACTACCTCCTTCCACCTGAACTGTGTGTGCTCTTCGGTGGTCTCCCAGAATGTACTCTGGCCCTGGGAGACCACATCTCAGATCTGACAAGGCTTTTTCTGAGGGTCATCCCCAACATGAATAATATTTAGTCACTTCTCAGACCCTTACAGTGAATCCAAATGCCTCACCATTCCCAACAGCATGTGCTTCCCTTACCCCAGCTATGCCCAATCACCCACAAAACCCTTCCTTTCTTGCTACACCTGAACACGCTGAACATGCTTGGCTGATTCTGTTCCCATGGGGACCCTGTAGAAATGCCAAAGAGAAGAACCTCAAGAAATCAGGAGCTTGGAACCTTAACATTAAGTTAACAGAGCATGGCTCAGTGGTAGAGCTCCTGCCTAGAATCCCCCAGTGAGGGGCTGGGGCATGGCTCAGTGGTAGAGCCCCTGCCTAGAATCCCCCAGTGAGGGGCTGGGGCATGGCTCAGTGGTCAAGCCCCTGCCTAGAATCCCCCAGTGAGGGGGTGGGGACTCAGCGGTAAAGTGCTTACCTTCCATGCACAGGCCCTGAGTACCACCTGTAGCATGACAAAAAGTATTACTTTTGAGCAGAGTAAACACAGATTTATTGAAGAAAAACAAGAAAGCTCCCTGGAGAATGAGAAGCTCCATGAGAGGACTACCCAAAATCATTTAAAGTGTGAGCAAAGCAGACAGGAAGGCAGGCGGTCTGCCCTGATTTCCCCATGTGTTATGGAGAGGCATGGGAGTAGGAGCCAGGCATGAGAGGAGCTCCAGGAAACCGCTCCGTGTGACCTGAATGAAGTGACTGTGACCCTCTACATTCAGAGTCCCTTCTCTCCAGAATGGAACAGCTACGGTCACCCATGCAAACCACATCACAGACAAGAGCTAACCTGAGGGAGTAGTGGTGATGACACTATGTGCCAGACATTCAGGGGCCAAAACCCAGTCCATTCATACAATGCCTGATCAACTCTGGGAGTCAGAAACCTTGCTACCATCTCCATATTGAAGAAATAGGTACAGAATGGTGAAGGCATTGGCGAGGGCTGGAGTTCAGGCGCAGGCAGCCTGGCTCTGATTCTGACTCAGGACAAGAGGCACTAGTGTCTGCCATTTCTCACGCAGCAATGTCCAGTCTCCGAGTCCACTGAAAGCTGTGAAAGGGGCTTCCACATCTTAGCCTCTTGGCTAGCAGGGTTGAGCATCTTTAGACTTGGACCCAAGGGAATCAGCAGCCAGGCACAGCGGCTGCAAACTCATGTCATTTCAGTTCAAGGTTATCTTTGTCTAGATAGTGAAGTCAAGCTACACAAGATCAAATATAAATACATACATACATATATTTTTAAAAGGTTCCTTTGTTATGCTCCACCTAAAGAAAGGAAGTCTATGCCGAAGTTTGAGGTCCCTCACCTAAGCAACTTCCTGAAAGGTTACACAATGATCTCCCTGAGAAGACACAAAGTTGGGCCGAGATCCAAGTCTTGGTAATTCCAGAAAACCACAATGACTTGGTCTTCTGTGCTCTTCCCAATAAGGAAGTTTCTATCTTCTGCCAGCCCCCCCCATCTCACAAGCTGAGCAAAGGCCATATTGCTGTCCCACCCTTGCCCAAAGAGGAAGCTGAGACTAAGGTCATCCGTGACAAGTAAAGTCCCGCCCAGGTGTGAAGCAAGCCCTTCATGCCACCCCCCTGCCCCAGATGATAAAACTCCACAGGAGGGCCTGACTCATACACAGTCCAGAGTGCTGTCCGCTGTATCCAACATGTTGCTTGCCTGGACTCTCCTTAGCCTCCTGGGCCTGGGCACCTCCTGCAGTTTCGTGGTGCCCCGCAGCGAGTGGAAGGCCCGGCCATCTGAGTGCTCCCAGCGCCTGCAGCACCCGGTTCGCTATGTGGTGATCTCACACACAGCTGGCAGCACCTGCAGCAGCCCGGCCTCCTGTGAGCAGCAGGCCCGCAATGTGCAGCATTACCACATGAGCAACCTAGGCTGGTGTGATGTGGCCTACAAGTGAGTACAGAGTGGGTGGGACTCCTGATGCTGGATCTGTCTCCCTTGGGTGCTGTGGGAAAAGGCAAGCTTTGCCTCACTCACGCACACCAAGGTGTCACCTCTATAGCTCATAAGGAAACAGTTTTCTAAAAGCCCGGGCCTTGCCAGGACAACGCCAGGCTGACTGAGCCTCGCACCAAGCCCTGGCATCAGTGGGCATATTTGCTGCCAGAGACCCAGGGCAGGGGACTACATAGGGAAATTGTTGCCCTGGGCTCAACTTCCTCTTCTGCAAAGGCCAATGGGATTGGGGCCCCTAATACCAAACACCCGGAAAACTGGCTAGCATATGGTACCAAATCTATGAGCAAATGTCTTCCATGTGCCAGAGTTCCAGATGGGTCCATTGCTAGGAACATATCACTATAGTCCTGTGTGCATAAAGACAGAAAAAAGATGGGTTCAGGATGGAAACAGAATGCACAGGAAAAGGACTTCTAGATGGTTCAGCAAGTAAAGGTACTCGCCAGCAAGCCTAACATCCTGAGTTCTAACCTGGGTAGGAGAGAACCGACTACTGATGGACCAATGATTGCTCTGCCATCCACACATACATCACACACACACACACACACACACGCACACACACACGCGCGCGCGCGCGTGTTTTAACAGAGAGAAAATAGGCTGGCTGTGCTAGTCATGGAGATGCCTGTTACCCCAGCACTGAGATAACATGGGAGGCTGGGAGGATTACTACGAGTTCAAGGACAGCCCGGGCTTCATAACAAGATCCTATCTCCAAAAAGGGGTGGGGGCAGGATAGACAAGGGTAACAGAATCCAGATCCCCAAGTGAGGGATGGCATCCTGTGGCTTTGATGTGGCTCTAGGAGACACAGAGGGAAGCTGGGGATGGGGGTGCAGCACAGAGACAAGTGCTAGAAGATTCTGTCAAAGACCAGGCCTGAGGCAGGTCATGGTGAAGACAGAGGTCAGACAATACCCACAGAAGGTTCTAGGTGGGGGAGAGGCATAGACCAGCCCAAGTGTTAGTAGGCTCCCTCTGACTGACCACCAGAGAGCTGGGGCTGCGTGGATGGGCCCCGGGGGACACACCCATCAGTCACACAGGCTTCTTTTCAGTGTCACAGACTATACTACACCTGAGTCTGTTTCCAACAGGAACATTTGAATCCTGTGACTCCTATACGCTAAGAGCCATATCGCCTGCAGAATTTACTGGAAATGCTGGTTCCAAGCCTACCCGATTGCTCTGCCAAAACCAAAGGGTCAGATGCCTGGGGGTGTCCCCAAGACTTTCCACCTGAGATTTTAATCATTCTAAGGCTCCAACATTAAAGCTGCTGCTGGGAACTGAAGTGGGAACTAGGGAAGACTGACCTAGGGCCACAGTCCTACAGAGAAGCAAAATCACATTATGTGAACCTCACTTTCTTTGCCTGTAAATGGAGATTTTGGTTGTTTTGTTTGGGGGGGGGTTGTCTCTGTGTATGCCTGAGTGTAAGTCTGTGTACCAGTGTGTACAAGAGCCCTCATAGGTCAGAAGAGGATACTGGATCCCCTGGAAGTCGGAGTATAGGTTGTGAGCCACCATATGGGTGCTGGGAATCAAACCCGGGTCTTCTATAAGCACAGCAAGCACCCTTAACCACTGAGCCAGCTCTTGACTATGCCCATTGTGATGGTGGCTGAGGCTTACAGACATCCCTGTAAAACCACAGCACCTCCACCCCAACGCAGTGCTGCAAATGTGGCTAGGGCATCACAAAGCAAAGGGGATGCAGGAATCAGTCGATGGCTCACCTCTACCCTTGCTGCTGGTGGTCTGCTGTCTTCCGAAAGTGAGACAGGGCTTTTGTCCCTGTGCAGGAGACAGGCTCTGCCTCACACACACAAAGTGTCCCCTACTCTTCTGTAAGAGAATCCTTCACCAAGGCTGGCACCTTGCCAGGACACTAAGCTGACTGAGCCTAGCCCTGGGTCCCCATGTCCCCTCTGGATCCCATCTCTTCCGAGGCAGGCTGTGAGTTAGCTTCCTAGGTGGCAGACAGGCTGGAACTCCTAGTTGCATCATCCTGGGCTTCATCAGCACCTCAGAGGCTGAATCCTCAAGCATCCAACCAACTCCAGGCGGCTGCCCCGACTCCAAGGTGTCCTGGGGATGGGGGGTGTCCTCCATTGAGACTTGGTCAGTAAATGAAACGCACAGATCTACTGTGCTAGGATTCGAAACCTCCAAAGAGGTCGATGTAGCCTCTACCCTTGAGTCCACAATCCTAATACCCGAGGACCCTAAGAACCAAGGCAGGTTGGAACAAGAACAAACTAATTTGAAAACTCTCTTTTATTTACACTTATTTACTTAGCTGAGGTGGGCACATGGCACAACTCGGTATGGAGGTCAGAGGACAACCTGCAGGTGTCGGTCAGTTTGCGCCTGTCACCACATTGGTCTCAGAGACAGAACTCGGTTGCCAAGCTTGGCAAAGGGCCTGTACTGGATGAGCCATCTCACTGGCCCAGCGGCAGACTCCTGAGGGGTAGGGCCGCTGAGGCTGTGACTTTGTGCAATTAAGTGGCACAGAGTGGGTCCCTGGTTATCAATTTGGGCTATGGGAAGGCAGTAGTGCCACCCCCAGGGGCTTGATGGGGGACGAGGTGAATTCAGAGGCTTGGGGAAACAATGAATTCCAACCTTATCCACACAACTGGGTTTGCAGTGTGGGTAACAAGGAGATTTGTGTCACCTTAAATACTGATCCTACCTACCTAGGGGTAGCAACTCACCAGCTGCTACAAAGATGAGGAAAAAGTATTAAGTATTTACACAGCTGTGCTCGGCAAGAAACAGGGTACCATCCATAAACGGGTGTGGCTGCCTTAGTACTACAGAAGATGACTGATGTTGGGGGAAGTCCCTCCTACGCTCATCAAGCTCTGCCCCTCCTCCACAGCTTCCTCATTGGAGAGGACGGTCATGTGTACGAAGGCCGAGGCTGGAACATCAAGGGTGACCACACAGGGCCCACCTGGAACCCCATATCTATCGGCATCACCTTCATGGGCAACTACATGGGTAAGCACCCAGCACCCTGGGCTGGGGGTGGTATGGGGAGAAGGGACTCACAGGCTCTGCCACCTATATGCTCATGACCTCGTTTTTCTCTTTGGATAATGGGGCCATTGGGACCCTATGCTAGGAGTGGCTGATCAATACTAAGTTAAGGGCGGGAGGACAGAACCGTAGTAGTAAACAGCTATAATCCCAACACTCCTCAGGTGGAAACAAAAGGATTGTGAGTTTGATGTCAGCCTACACCATAGAATAAGATCCTGTCTCAAAAAAACAAAACAGGGCTACAACTATAGCTTGGTTGGTAGAGTCCCTGCCTACCATGCACATCACCCTGAGCTCAAACCTCAAGCACCACACTGACAGCATGGGATGCACACATTAATCCCAACACTGGGGGACAGTAGCAAAATCAGTTCAAGCCAATCCTTCTCAGCTACACGGGGAGACCCAGGCCAGCCTGGGATAGGAACTGTCTCCAATCAACCAGTTAATTCCTGAGGCACCAAAGATATATTTAATAGACATATCTTTTTGCGTGGGCCGGACCCTGGGGCCTGGGAGCAGAGACAGTCAGGGCCAAGCAGCAACATAGCAGGCGATGTTTTGCTAAGGTCTCCTCCGGGCTGGGCAGGCTCCCTATGGTGGTTGATCGAAAGTTAATTATTTTATCCACCACAGCCCTATGGGAATGAGGAAACTGAGGCAGAGGGCAGTTCACAACCATCCCTTACCTCTCTGCCCTTCAAGACGCCCCAGTCTAACTCCCTGTATCTTGCCCTCCCCTTGCAGAGCGGGTACCCCCAAAGCGGGCCCTCCGTGCCGCCTTGAATCTTCTGGAATGTGGGGTGGCTCAGGGCTTCCTGAGATCCAACTATGAGGTCAAAGGACACCGAGATGTGCAAAGCACACTCTCTCCAGGCGACCAACTCTATGAAGTCATCCAACACTGGAAGAACTACCGCGAGTGAGGCTGGGTGTAGCCACCACTCTGGAATCCCTCCTACCACCTGCTCCCTCCTCACCCCCTCTGTCCTCCCAGTGACCCCACCAATAAAGAAATAGCATCGGCCATGCTCCTGTGTCACATGACCCCTTCACTATCTCTCCCACACAAGGCCCAATGCTGAATGAATCAAAACCCAGAGACCCTGGCTCAGAAGCAACATCACAGCTTAGAACCTAGAGATCTCAACACCAAGCAGGCCCCAGTATCACCCACAGCAGTTCAAAAGAACCAGACAATGTGGACCACGCTGCAAGACACCACTACCCTGCCAAATGGCCAGACATACTGACTTTGCTTGAACTTCTCTGGAGAGTTCTAGTGCCCACCTGCCTCCAGGTCACAGACCGGCCAGATACACTTTCAGTCCCCATTATCAGCCCATCCTCATTTCTTCCTACTCCTTTCCTACCCTTGAATCATAAGCCAAGGGCCAAGAACAACCACATTTATTTACAAAATACACAGAGCCTCTTCTCCTAGAATGCATTATTGGGAGAGAGGGGGGAGTCAGGTCTTCACACACCTGAGACTCCAGGAGCACCGAGAGGTGTGGAGCATGGGAGAGGTGCCACCTCCACACCAGAACCCCTGAAGGTAGAATGGGAAATCGGGGTACCACCTCTCCAGGGTCATGACCGCGTGTCCAGTCTGTTCATGTATTCTTGCAAAGCCTTCAGGCGGGCATCTATTTCGGCCATGTCAGCTCCCTGGTAGTCAGAGCTGTACTCTGGGAAAGCAGAAGAGGGGTTGGTGTGCTGGGAGGGGGGGACCATCAAGGGCCTAAAGCAGCAAGGAGCCAATTAACTGCCCTTATTACCACCCCAGAGGGGTCTGGGATGATGGAGAGAGGGAAAAAAGGGATAAATATGGAACCCCAGGCTCACCTTTGATGGGGACCCAGCCCCCAGAACTGGTCAGGTGTCTCTGGTGATTGCTGCGTTCTCGGGTGGTAGACTTCTAAAGACAAGAGGCAGGAAAGGGGTCAGGCAAGCCCTTCCGTATCCCCCAAGTCCCATGGGGATTCTGAACCCAAGGATCTGCAAGTCACCACTGTAGCAAGAGCTCCTGACACAAGAGCCCTCCAAGGGGTGAACTGGTAAAGCCTGAGGCACAGGGAAGCTTGTCAAACATCCTCAGTCACCCACAAGCAGGAGAGGCTCCAAAAGCACCCTGGTCACACACTAGCAGAAGAGGCTCCAAAAACACCCGGTCACACGCGAGGAGGAGAGAGTGGCATAATTTGAGGAAAAGAGCCTTTTCCTTTCTTTCAGACACAAGATCTCATATAGCCCAAATTCACTCTGTAGCTAAGGTTGGCTTTAAACTTTGGATCCTCCTGCCTCCACCTGAATGCTGGGTTCACAGGCCCACCAGTACCATCACACACAGTATATATGGAACCTGGGTCCTTGTGCTAGATGGGCATTCTAATGCCGAGCCTCATTCAACATCTGAATCTCGAAACATACTGTGGTCACTAAGATTTTTGCCCGCCAGTCTCAGGGCCCCAAGCACCCTGCTTCCAGAACCATTCTAGAGTTCCCTCTACAATCTACAATCTGGTCCCCCCCAGGACAACACACTCATAGATGATGATGGTTAGTCACCTATGGCTTAATACTACCCTTCCCTTCTCCCAGCCAGGAATGATCCTCACCGTCTTGGACCCGCTCCAGGGTGTGGGGCTGGGTGGTTTCCCACGGCCACGGCAGCGACGGCTGAGAAAAGAAGGCAATCAAGGACCATAGAGCATCTTTGGTATCTCCATCCTGACCCATCTTTGTGGTTTTAAGACCTCCAGCCTCTGTCACCTAATGACCATGTAAAAGGCTGCTTCCACTCTCCCCCGAGGCGCCCTTTTCAGAGAGTCCTTCCCCAGTTTTACCTCCTGGAAACCGACTCAGAGAAATCCTCCAGCTCGCTGCAGGAGCTAACCGACGAGCAGCGGCTGCGGAAACTGTCCACTAGAGGGAGACGGAGGTCATTAGGCCCGGCGGGTCACCTGGCCCGCCTACCGCCCGCCCACAGTGCCTCTTCCAGCAGGTTACCCGAGGAGCTGCGGTTTCGTGAGCGGTTGGCGGCGTCCCCTCGACCTGTCACAGCAGCAGCGGGCCGAGCCTGGTGAGACCATGAGACGGACGGACCGTCCCCGCTTCCTCCACTGCCCATTCGGTTCCGCTGCTGTTGCTGCCTAGAAATCCAGAGACTAGAGGTGTGCCGGGAAGGGAGCCACAGAACCCATGGCCCGCCAGAGGTCATGTGGGGACAGGTGAGAGTGGAGAAACAAACACTGCACCCGAGGGGTTACGAGAGCAGAACGAGGTCAGGAGGGGACGGGGCCAAGAGAGGTGGCTGAGTGTGCAGTTGGTGACAGGTGGGAGATGAGGTCCGGACCAAGCACAGAGCCGGGGTGGGAAACAGACACAGACTTACTTCATCCTAATCTCTCTCTGCTTCTTCTCCTTGGCTTTCACAAAGGCTGTGGGGTCAAAACGGGGCGCACGACCACCTAGACAGTGTGGGGAGGAGGCTGACTCTCATACCGCCTTCTGTGGGCCCTAGCCCCCATCCCGCCTCCCCACCACAGGGCGGGGCAGCCACAGACCTGTGGGCGAAGGCGAGGGGCGTGCTGGCTGGCCGCGACCCCTGGCCCCACGACCGCTCTCCCGCGACGAGGACCGAGTGGCCGCGCGGCCGCGAGACGTGGAGCGCTCCCGGGACGACGAAGCTCGATCCCCCCGGCCTGGAACCGGCGCAGGCAGAGTGCGTCTCCTGGGAGCACCAAGTCCGCAGTCAGCTTTGCACCCGCCAGCCCATTCCCACCCTGAGGCCACACACACCTCCTCTGCACCTGAGGCCCACCTTCTTCTATCTTATCTCCGCAAACCTTCCCACCCAGGATCACCACACCTTCCTATACCTCACCTTCTCCGAGTCCTTTTCCAGGACCCGCCACTTCCTTACTTCCTACACCCTGAGGTCTTCCTTCTAAGTCTCCCTTGCCAAGCCAGGACAGCAGACACCTCCCTGTTTCCTCCCGCTGGGATCAATAGGCCCTCGGGCTCCACCCCAAACCTACCTCCAGGCCCCACCTAATTCTCCACAGGCCCCGCCCACCTCCCCCAAAATCACCTTACCTGACTCCCCCCATTTCTGAGCTTCCCACACACACACCCCATCAGCCCCACCTCTCACCCCCTTCTGTACATGGCCAGCTCAGTGTTGAGCGTCTTCAGCCGAGCTCTCAGGCTACGCTCAGAGGCCTTCACCTCCTCGAGCTGCGGAGGGAAGCGGAGAGGAAAACGCCGAAGTCCAGACCAAGCCAAAGCTCAGGGAGGCGCCCCCTCCCCGGCTCTGCCCCCTCACCTCCTTGGCCAGGCGGCGGCAATCCTGGCTGCGACGACTCGCAGCCCTGCTCCCGAGGCCACGCTCCTGCCGAAGCTCCAGCTCCAGGCCCCGCACCAGCCCGCGCAGTGCCTCGGCCTCCTGGCGAGCAGCCCGCCCGGCCAGTGCCTCCTCTCTGGAGCGACTCAGCTGCACCTCCAGCTCGCGCTTCTCTGATGCCAGGCGGGTCACCCTGAGAGCGGGGAGAGGACCCAAGCACCATGAGCTGCTCCCCACTACTCCACAGGAGGCAGTCCCCGAGACCCTCCAGGAAAGAGAAGTGCAGTTCCCAGGAAGGGGTCTGGTCCTGTCAACTTCCCTCAGGCAGGAAGGATGCTGAGGCTACTTCTTCGCCTTCATCCACTCCACACACACCCAGGCACATCTCCCCTAGTGAAGAGGTCAGTATAGAGACAAGGCTCAAACTGCCTGCTGCAAGCCTAGCCCTCGTATCCTTGCTCACACCTCCAAGACTTTCCCAGTCAGATCTTATCACCACCCAATAACAACTGATTAGGTTGCTACCCTGCTCGATGATTCTTAAGAAAACACCACATACACGAGCTTTTCCTTGCTGCTGTTTATAAATAGCAACTAATTGGGTTCTGTGGCTCATACACAGTGAAGCGCTGCCATAAAAAGGGTTGAGGGCTGATTTTCACTAATTTAAAAAGTGCAGAATGTATTTACCAAGTCCCTTTTTTATTAAAAAAAAGGAATGAAAGGGGTTATAAATTGTCTATGTATGTTCATATTTTTAAAAACATAGGAAACATAAAAAACTTTCAAATAGAGAATGGTTGCCAGTGGGTAGTGGAGGAGCAAGAGGGACCAGATAGAGAAACTGGACCTCTCTAGGTGTACCCTTTTCCAGCTTTGACTCTGAACTACGAAAATACTTTATGTAGAGACAGACTCTGGCTATATTGTCCAGGCTGATCTTGAATTTCTGAGTTCAGGTGCTCCTCCTGCCTCAGGACCTATCACCAGAATCAAGGGAATGGGGCGGTCAGCAGGCTCCAAAAAACATAAATGTATATCAAAGGTGGAGTAACTGCAGAGTTATATGATGTGACTAAAACACAGACTTTTAGCAAGTGGGATACGGAGCTTTAGGGCAAAAGAGGCTGCAAAAAAAAAATCTAACCTTTATTCGGAAGCCTCATTAGTGATTGCATTGGTATTATTTTTTAAGATTTATTCATTTATTAAACATACAGTATTCTGTCTGCATGTGCGCCTACAAGCCAGAAGAGGGCACCAGATCTTACTACGGATGGTTGTGAGCCACCACGTGGTTGCTGGGAATTGAACTCAGGACCTCTGGAAGAGCCGTCAATGCTCTTAATCGTTTAGCCATCTCTCCAGCCCCCTGCATTGGTTTTATATGGAATTAAAAAAAATTGTTACTAACATAACAAAACTACGATTTTTCATCAGAAAAATGGGTGTAAAATCAAGGAAAAAGAACAGACAGTATATTCTCCTTCTAAAAGTGTGTCTGTCTTCTGACACTATCCACTAAAAAAAAAGAGAGATAGAGAAAGAAAAGAAAGAAAAGGAAAAAAAACTAAGTACAGCCCAAAGACAGTGAGCACTTGCAATGAACAGCTCATGCTAACATTGGCTCCCAATAAAAGAAATAAAATGTCTTGGAAAAATAGTGGTAGAGCCCCTGCCTAGAATCCCCCAGTGAGGGTATAGCTCAGTGAAAGAACACTTGCCTAGCATGCACAAGCTCAGAGTTCTACATCTGGCATTTAAAAAGCAAAACAGAGAAGATTACTGAGGCCCTTCTAAAAGGATATAGAACAGTTCCACCTGGTCAAAGACAACACTAACATGCGAACAAAAATCTGTTGCAGTGAATGAATTAGATCACATCTGTGGTGAGCTGAATACTGGCCCCACATGCCCAAAGATATGCAGGGCCTTCTCCTGGAACCTGTGAACGTTCCACTATTTAGCGAAAAGGGACTTTTACAAATCTGGTATGGGTGGTAAGATAAACTGATTCTCCTGAATCAGCAGGGCAGGCCCTAAACATAATCACAACCTGAGATTAGAATCACAGAGGGGAGAGGGGAGTGTGTCCACACAGCCCAGATCAGACTACCAGGACACAAGCCTAGAACAGCAGCAGCTCCCAGGTGCCAGAGAGACAAGAAAGGGATTCTCCCAAGGAGATACGGGAGGATGGCTCCACTGAAGCCTACACTGCAGCCCAGCAAACACCATCCCCGACGCCGGCCTCCAGAGGGAGACAGAACACACTTCCAGTGGTTTGTCTTTTGGTTTTCCTTTTTATTGCATGTATTTGTGTGGATGCACACAAAAACACCCTCGTGTCAGAGCACTCACGTGGCGGTCAGAGAACAACTGGCGGGACTTCCCCCCTTCCACCACGTGGGTTCCAGAGACTGCAGCAGGCTTGGTGGCGAGCACCTTTACCAGAGGAGCCACTCACAATCCACTGCAATGGTTTTTGGGTTTTTGGGTTTTCAAGACAGGGTTTCTCTGTAGCTTTGGAGCCTGGGAACTTGCTCTGTAGACCAGGCTGACCTCCAGATACGCCTGTTTCTGCCTCCCGATGCTAGGATTAAAGGTGTACACCACCGTGCCCAGCAACCCACCAAATCTGAGGCATTTTGTCACAGCAGTCAAAGGGAACCAACACAAGCACAATTAACTTCAAATTCAGGAGTTCATAATGGCCATGACCACAAAAGCCGCTGGTGTCTGTGGAGGATGAGGGCCAGCTAAGCATTCTGTCACAGGTGTGAAAAGACACTTGGCACTGACTGTGCCACTCCTGGGGAAAATGGACTTCTTTGCCCCAGCTAGCAAAAGCAGAAAGAATCATGGAATTAGATCATCTCCTCAGAAGACATCAGTCTGGCCAACAGTTTCAAGAATTGGCAAAACGTGGTGGTCACACCTTTAATCCAAGCACTCAGGAGGCAGAATCAGGTAGACCTCTGAGTTCAGGGCCAGCCTGGTCTATAAAGCGAGTTCTAGTACAGCCAGGGTTACACAGAGAAATCTTGTCTCAGACAAGGATGAAGGGAGAAAGGGAGGAGGGAACAAGACAAGAGCAAAACACGGTGGTGCATTCGGGCGGCGGAGGCAGGAGGATTGCTGAAAGTTCAGGGATAGACTGGTCTACCTGGTAAACACATAAAAAATTGGGGTTTTTTAAATAGGTTATCTCTCTTTCACTTTCTCTCTCTCTCTCTCTCTCTCTCTCTCTCTGTCTCTCTCTCTCTCTCTCTGTCTCTCTCTCTCTCTCTCTCTCTCTCTCTCTCTCACACACACACACACACACACACACACTCACATACTCACATGCACCCTCCATCATGCCCTTCCCAGCACCAGCCTCTGCAGAGCCAGCACTTGTTGGAATGACCCTCTACCTTCTGACTGAATCACCGCCCTATGGGGCAGCATTCTCCCTCAGAAGCAAGGCCCTGTCTCCAAGAGAAGGAGGCGGAGGCAGAGTTAGAACCGACAGGGAGGACACACTGAGATTTCAAGAAAAACCCTTACCAGTTCTGTTGATGGGTAGAGATCGCCACCTTGTGGCCAACCTGGGAGATGACTTGGGTGGAGGGTAAGTTCCTCAGACTCCCACTGTGTCCTTCCTCCACCTCTGCTCAGCAGCGCCCATGGGTCCTGCTACCCAGTGTACTCCCAAGTGAGAGAAGGTCATTCTTCTCTGGCAGCAATTGGCACTCAGTCTAGGCTGGCACCTCCAACAATGCAGAAGTGCTGGCTGCATCTAAGGTCTAGCCTGGCTGTGCCCTGGGAAAGTTCCCTAGCCCTCTGGGCTTCTTGCCATGGCGGTGAGAGCAATGTCTATCTCATAGGGTTCTGTGAGGGTAACCACTTCTGCCTTCCATGGGCACATAGGCACATACCCTCTCACAGACATAATACATAATAAAAATCAATCTTAAAAAAAGTAAAAGTAATATGGGGACTGGAGTGTGGTTTGGCTAGCTAGCATACATGATGCCCTGGGTTCAATCCCAGGACTACATAAGCCAAGTCTGGTGGCCTATGCATATAAGTCCATGGACACCCAGATCTGGAGGAAGGATGACCAGAAGTTCAAAGTCATCCTTGACTAGATTGAGAGTTTGAAGCCAGTCTTGAATAGATGAGGCCTTGTCTCAAAAGGGGAAAAAAAAAGAAATGAGCCAGCAAGATGGCTCAGTGGGTAAGGATGCCTGCCATTCAAAGATACAAGCCTGACAACCTGAGTTTGATCCCTGGAAGCCATGAAAATATGGAGAGAGAACCAACTCCACATGCCATGGTGCGTGCACATGTGTACGCGCGTGCACACACACACCATGCATATGGTACAATAATATTTTTTTAATGTCACTATTCCTCCTCAAGAATTGGCCACCTCCAGGTAGAGACCAAATCCCTGCCTCCAGATGACAGAACACAGCAGGAGTGGGGAGTATCCCAGAAGCCTTCACTCTTTCCACCCTCCCTCACAGCTGAGGACTTTGCACATGCCGTACCCACTGCCTAGAACACTCTTCTCTAACTCCTTCACCTAACCTACCTATTGGGCCCTGGGCACAGCTACCTTTTCTGCCTCCTCCGTAGCGGATAACACGATTACGTGGTTGTTGATTAACGTCCATTGCCACTGGGCTAGGCCCCCCAGGCAGGGAGCCAGGCAGCATGAGGCTGGGTGAAGGCTATCCAGCCGCTCTTCCAGCCTATTTAACATCGCCTTTACTGATGGTGCTCCTGCTTCCGCACCTTTTTTTGGGATTCCCTCCCGATCCCACACACCCACACACGCTGAACGTCCTTCTCACTGTCCTAGGGGCCCAGGAAGGCAGCGCCAGGGCTATCAATCACCACTGAATCCCCAGCACCCAACAAAAGGCAGAGAGGCGGGGTTCAGAAGGAAAAAGGCGGTGCCTATCCCGCCCACCACACCCACACCCACCACACACATCCCCAGACTCACTGCTCCCTCAGGTGCCAGATCTCTGTCTCCCGAGTATCACGAGTATCACGAGCGTCCTGGCCGCCATCCAGCCCGCGAAGGCGGCCCAGCTCCTCCTTCAGTGAGCGGATGATGCCCTGCAGGACCACAGGGTCCGGCTTGCCCTGGTACGGGAGGGGCAGCGGGTAATGAATCCTGAGAGAGGGGATCAGAACCACGGAGTCTCAGAGGCCAAAATCCACACGAAGACACAGATCTCCGAGCCAAAGAACACATGCACACAGAGTCCCAAAAGTTTGTATTCTTGTTTGGTGTTTTGTTTTGTTTTGTTTTATGTTTTGAGAGCTTTGCTTGTTTGGGTTCTTGTGGCAGGATCTCACTGTGTGACCCTGGATGTCCTGGAACTCTCTACATAGTCCAGGCTGACCTAGAACTCAGAGATCCACCTGCTTCTGCCTCCCAAGTGCTGGGAAAGCAGTTGGCTCTGGGTTCTTTGTCCACAAACTACCATGCCAGCCAGTCACACCCAGATGTCTCAGGATTCCAAGCTTGGACTCAGGGCTTGACAGGACCCGTGCAGTGCCAACTGACTGTCCTGTCATGTCTTCAGGGGAGGCACTGTTACTTAAGCCCCAGACACTACTCTGGAGACACCAGATGGCCTGAGCTGAGTCAGCCCTGGGCTGGGGACATTACAGGATGCCTTCAGGTGCTTGCTGTCCCACTCACCACAGCTCCTACAGGATTTCTGACTTCGGCTTGCTAGCCCAGACACCAGGGCAGTGACCCTGTTGCCCAGCTACTCAAGAGCCATTACCAACCAGGTGTAATCCCAGTTCTCAGGAGGCTAAGGCAAGAGGACAGCCATGAGTTCATGGCCAGGCTGGGCTACATAGCAAGACTCTCTCTTAAAAATAATAAAGGACCCAGGTGGTGGTGGCTTTAATTCCAGCACCCAGGAGGCAAAGGCAGGCGAATCTCTGAATTCTAGGCCAGCCTGGTTTACAGAGTGAGTTCCAGGGCAGTCAGGGCTACACAGAGAAACTCTGCCTTAAAAACCAAAACAAAAGTTAAAATAAAATAAAATAAAGGAGGACAGAGAATGACCAGAGATGGCTCAATGTTTAAAACACATGTTGTTCTTACAGAGGAGCCAGGTTCAGCTCCCAGGACCAACTGTAATTGCACGTGAGGGGATCCCAGACGCCCTCTTCTGGACTCTGCAGGCACTACAAGCAGGTGGTGTACAGACATACACATAAAACATTCATACACATAAAACAGATTTTAAAGAAAAAAAAAGTAAAGGGAAGGGGCTGGAGAGACAGCTCAGCAGTTACGACCACTGGCTGCTCTTCCAGAGGACTGGGGTTCAGTTCCCAGCTATGAGCACTTAAACCAATTCTACGGGAAGTCTGGTGAGCCCTGTTCCTTTTCTTCCTGTTTTGATGAAGACACAAGGCTAGAGGCCCAGCAGCCTCTGTGACCGTGAAGAGATAAGGGTAGGATTATAAAAGGGGGCCAACATATTAAACATACAAAGATTTTAAAAATTAAACACACACACACACACACATGTACACAAAAAGAAAGCATCCCTTAGCCAGGTACAGTGGTACAGGCTGCGAACACCTTGGGAGGCTGAAGCAGAAGGACTCTCACAGAGGCCGGTCTGGGTTACATTATGAGTTCTAAATAAGTCAAGGCTACAAAAGATATGTCATGTGTCAAAAGCAAAAACAATTTAGAAGCCAGCCAAGGTGATGCACACTTGTAATCTCAACACTTGAGAAGGTGAGGCAAGAGGAACACTGTTAGTTCAAGTCCAGGCACTGTGAGTTCTAAACCAGCCTAGGCTACAAAGTTACACCTTTAATCCCAGCACTCAGGAAGCAGAGACAGGCAGATTTCTGTGAGTTCAGCACCAGCCTGAGCTACATAGTGGGTTCCAGAACAGCCAGGGCTACATAGAGAGATCCTGTCTCAAAAAACAAAAAACAAAAAACAAACAAACAAAAAAAAAGGCAAGCAAGTACACAAAAAACAAACAGAAAGATCTTATGCCCCTAATAGTAAGTTGAACTGCAGTTTGGATGTCTGGCTGGGGAATAAATCATTACGTTTGAAGCATGTTGGGGCTGTAGCTCAGTGGCAGTGCTTGCCTGCCATGTGCAAAGCCCTGGACTCAGCTGCATACAAGAAATACTGAGGTACAGGCAATGATCATTCTGCCACTTGTACCCAGTCACAACAGTAAAATGACAGAGGTCACAGACCTGCAGGTGAAATAACTGCATCTTAGTCACCTGGCACCAGGGGCTCCTCCCACCCTGCCCACCGGCCTGGGCCCTCAGCCAGCCACTGTGCCCACCTGTCAAACTCCACGGAATAGATGAGGATGAGGTAGCGCTTGGAGTTGAGCTGTGCCGACCTGGGGGCCAGGGTGCCCGGGCGGCCCCCCAGCTTGCGGCTCCGCAGGGACTCCAGGTCTGTGTAAGTGAGCAGGTCCAGGGTGACGGACTCACTGCTCTGTGGGAAAAGAGGATGGGAGGTGCCAAGGATGCTCACAGCCACCCTCTCGGTCCTCCTGCCTCTGCCTCCCCGGTGCGGGGATGGCAGGTGTGCAATTGGAGCTGCCTGATGAGGCGGCAGATTCCACCTGGCAGCTACACCTGTCCAGGCTTAGCATGCTAGCACAGAAGCGCAGTCCACTATCTGAGAACTGCTATCCAGGGGGCTGGTGAGACGACAGCTCAATGGTTATGGGTGCGCTATTCTTCTGAAGCACCCACATCAGGTGGCCCACTGCTTGGTACTATTGTAAGCAACCCGGTATGGGTACTGGGACCCAACCTATGACCTCTGCAAGAGCAGCAAGCTCTCTTAACCACTGAGGCGTCTCTCTAGCCCGGGTGGCTAAATTCTTATCAAATACTGGGACTGAGGCTCAGCTGGTAGCATGCTTGTCTGACACGGAGCCCTGGGCTCCACCCCAGAACTGCATAAGCCAGGCCACCAAATGCTGCCTCAATCTGTAATCCCGGTCCTAGAAGACAGAAGCATGAGGATGAGGAGTTCAGGGTCATCCCCGGCTACACAGTGAGTTCAAGGGGTTCCAGGGCAACCTGGGCTACATGAGACAGTGTTTCAAAAAAAAAAAATAAAGTTCACAATTCTTTAGAAAAATGTATGAACTACATATAATTATATATCTGTAAAAACAGTCACATGTATTCATGTGAAGAGAGAGAAATGAAGAAAAGTTGGATTGATTTCACCAGTACTTTTAATATAGAATTTATTATATATTTTATTTAATAGTTAGTGTATATGTGGTGTCCATACTTGCATTCTTGATTTATTTTTATTTTATATGCATTGGTGTTTTGCCTGCATGTATGTCTGTGTCAGATCTTGGAATCATAGACAGTTGTGGGCTGCCATGTTGGTGCTGGGAATCAAACCCAGGTCCTCTAGAAGAGCAGTCGGTGCTCTTGACCACTGAGCCATCTCTCCAGCTCCCGTGTGCTTGCATTCTGGTGCCACGTGTGGAGGTCAGAGGACAACTTTCAGTGTTCTGCTCTGTCCTTCCACCAGGTGGACCCTGGAGATGGACCCAGGTCACCGGGCCAGCCACTCAAACACCTTTTTACTTTCTAGGCCAGTTCTGAAGCCTTCACCAATATCTTAACAAGAACATCAAGAGTGGAGTGGTTTTCTCTTTCTCCTTTGTGACCCAACCTACTTTCCTTGTTTTTTTTCTTTCTCTTTTCTTTTTTTTTTTTTTTTTTTGGTTTTAAGATTTATTTTCATTTTAATTCTGTGTCTATGTCAGGGTATGTATGGCGAGTGTGGGTGCCCTCGGAGGCCAGAGGATGTTGCAGGAACCACTGGACACGAAGTGTCAGGCGGCTGTGAGCTGCCTGAAATGGGTGCTGGGAACCGAACTCGGGTCCTCCTGAAGCAAGGACTGTCAACCACAAGCCATCCTTCCAGCACTCCTCAACACTACTTGTTTACTTATTTTGTTTTGTCTGAGACAGGGTCTTTTGCATGCAAACTGGCCTCAATCTCACTTGTAACTGTGGTAGTTTGAATGTAATTGGCCCCCATGACCTCATAGGGATTGGCACTATTAAGCAGTGTGGCCTTGTTGGAGTGGGTATGGCCTTGTTAGTGGAAGTGTGTCACTGTGGGGGCAGGCTTTGAGGTTTCCTATGCTCAGGATACCACCCAGCATGTCAGACCATTTCCTGTTGCCTGCAAGATGAGCGACTACTCCAGTACCACATCTGCCTGCATGCTGCCATGCTCCCTGCCATGATGATAATGGACTGAACCTCTGAAACTGTAAGCAAGTCACCTCAATTAAATGTTTTCTTCATGAAGTCAGTGTGGTCATGGTGTCTCTTCACAGCAACAGAAACCCTGACTAAGACAGTACTCAAGGATGACCTTGAACCGCTCATTCTCCGGCCTCCACTACTTAAGCTCCAGGATTATAAGCAGACACCACCATGCCCAAATAATGAGGTGCTGGTGATCCAACTGGGGGCTCTGTGCACACTAAGCAAGCACTCCACCCTGGAGCCACACCCCCAGCCCCACAATCTCAATTTTCTATGTGAAAACAACAGTCACCTGAATCATAAGTGATCACTGGCGTGCGCAGAAGAAGCTCTGAAGGCCAAACACCCTTCACACACGAGGCAGCCCTTCCACAGCCCCACACCCCAAACTCTGGGCAACAGAAAGCTCCCGGTCCCTGACACTGGTGCCTACCTGGGTGAGGGCCGACTCCAGCATGTTACAGAAAATGCTGAACTGTTTGAAGTTCCCCGTCTTGTGAGTCAAATCTTCAATGACTGGGTGGGAAGAAAAGTTCCTCCTGAGATCTGACCACTTACCCAGCCCAAAGGCAATATGCTCAATTTCTCCAGTTCTGCCCAGCCCTCATTGTCTCTGGCCAGCTCAATGGGGTCACACTCCTTTCCCACCTTGGAGAGCTTCAGAAGAGGCAGGAGCACAACTGGGCTCAACCTCAGCTTTAGGAAAAAGCTGACCTGGGGTGGGGAGGGAAGCCCACCCCAGCAGGCACACTCACAGCTGGCATCGAACTCGCCACGCCACTGGTCAGCGGTCATCCGGTCCTCCACCTCCAGCTCCAGCACCTGCCCCGAAACCACCACCCGCACAGCATGCTCCACACCCCGGAAGATGTAGTCCACTTGCAGGCCAGCTGGCTGGTCCATGGCCAGGGTCCCTGGAGAGGAGGAACAAAACAGAGACCTAGAGATGGACATCTAGTATCTTCAGAGTACAAAGGACTGGCGTTACACACAGTTGTGAGCTGCCGTGTGGGTGCTGAAAATTGAACCCAGGTTCTTTGGAAGAGCAGCCAGTGCTCACACCCGCTAAGCCATCTCTCCAGCCCCTCAACCTTGGCCTTTCTGAGACTGGGTCTCACTCTGTAGCTCTGGCTCAGAACTCAGGATTCTCCCCCATCAGCCTCCCGAGTGCTGGGATTGCCACGCCCAGTTGTTCTTTGCGCTCTTCTTGTCGTTATCAGGTTTAACTCTCCCAACAGCTCTGGGAAGAAGGTGTCAATTTTTAAACTCATTTTTCAGACGAGGAATGAAGCGCAGAACAATGAAGTCATTCTCCTGAGATGAACAGTGGATCCAGGAACTGACTCTCAGCTCGCTATGGTGGTGCACCCCAGCTATCCCAGCACTCAGACGGAGGTAAGAAATGCAGCCAACAGTTTGAGGCCAGCCTAAGCTATGTAACAAGACCCCAAGACAGAAACTCTATTCTCAAAACAAAACGCGGCAACAACACAGAGCTCCCACTTTGGATTTTTGTAGTGGCAAGAGTCTGCATTTTGGTTGTGGTTTAGTTTGGTTTGGGGACAGAAGTTTTGGGAGCACACAAGCAGCCCATGCTGGCTTGGAATTCAGGTTTCTGGAACGTTTTGGAGGGCTCCATAAAACCTAAAAGACCCCACCAATTATGCTTCCACTTTCTAGTTCTTAAGCCTGAAGTACTAATTAATCTCTGTGGTGCTGCTGCCCTTTCTAACTTGACCCACAATCCAGTGCCAGAGTTCCAGGCCCCACCCACAGACCCCGCCCCTCAGCTCCGCGGACCAGTCAGGGCCACCACAAAACGTTACTAGGGCACTGGAGGTGGAATGCCTGGGAAACTGTGCTCAAGGTACTGCCTCCCTTGTCCCTACTGCCAATCTGGCCTAGTCCAACACCCTGTACTACCTAGGCCCCGCATCCCTGCCCAGTACCCTGTGCCCACTCCCACCCACCACCTCAGTCCCAGACATTCAGCCTCTGAATAATAGACCTAAAATCGACTCTTCCCCCAATGCACGCCTCCCTCCCAACGCTTCTTGAAGGCATAGAAACCATCCCTTAGCTATTGCCAGACACGAACCCCACAAATCCAACACTCATTCCTCCCCTGGACTCAGGACGCCCTCCCCTGGGCAGACCTCCACTTCCCTGGCCTGTGTGCTCCCTGTCACAGAGCGGAAACCAAGCCCCTCTCTTTGTAAAGATCCCTGCTCCATCCTATTCTCCCAGCACACTGCTTCTCCCTACATCGGCCCCCACTTTCACATTCTCCTAGGACCCCGACCCCTGCATTTTCTATCTGAATTGTCATGCCCCCCTTTATTCGGTTTCAAGTCTGCTCACATGTTCAAGGTAGCCCACGTGCACCCCACTTTCCCCGTGTTCCATCTCCCCCATATTTCACCTGGATTCTGCCCAAACTGTCTAACACCCCTGCCCCACCCCTACACTCATTCCTCACCTCTCTTCCCTTGGACAGCCTCTGAGTCTCTCGCTCCCTCCAGATCCCCTCCCTCTAGACCTGCTCACTAAAGGACCCACAGTTCATCCTGGTCACTGACTTCAAGTGTATCCCAAGTCTCTCCTTGCCCCTCTTCTTCGACTCACCTTCTGACCAGCA